TACACCGCGTATTCATTATTTTAATTATCCTCTTAAAAATAATTTATTTATTTATTATTATTGATATTAATATTGAAAGTTAGAGCTGAATATAATATACATTTATATTAATTAGTTATTTCATAATCAGCGATAAATCTTTTAACAATACTACTGTATTTAAAAACTAATTAATTAGCATATATTTCAAAAAAAAAAAAAAAAAAAAAATAAGACATATAGTGTATGTAAAAAATGTCAATTATTGAAGTATGATGTATAATTCATATGTAATTAGTAATTAAATTACATGTATGATTGGCATCAGAGAGTAGAAAGAGGGCATGATTTACGACATAAAGTGAAGCATATCATTTATAATATCCAATCGGACAAGCTCTGTGATTGCTAAGTAAAAAATTAAACGTTTGACAATAATACACAAGGAATAAGTATAAGTAGGATAAATATATAATATATAAGAAAGTTACATTGTTGAGAAAATTAGTGGAGTGAACCATTGCCATTTAACGGACTGTCTAAGTCGTATAGTCATATATGTTACATATATGTCGCCTAGTATTAAGTATAACCATTATAAATTATGACTTTGTGTCGTCGTTGTCGTCGTTGTCGTCGTTGTTGTTGCGCTCGTCAAGGAGCCGAATAAGATTTTACATTGCATTTATACGAATAAGGAGCTACGCTCGGCTGCCCCAACTAAGCGGTTGCTAAGTACCTACTTGCAGACGGTCATTTTTCCCTTTATACTCCTGATACGTGATATACGACAATCTTTTCCCTTTTATACTGCAGTACATACATAGATATTACCGCCATTTTTACAATTAAACCTCTAAAATACTCTATACCGGCGTGTACGTAGATTTATCTACCTCTATACAATACTTATAGCTTGGAGTAAATGTACATATATATATATATATATTACCAATGGAAAATATATTAATAACTGCATAATTATGTTATTGTAACTTTTTTCCCCACTTTGAACAATAATTTATTTTTAGCTTAACAATAACAAGTACAAAGTGTCAAAAGACAACTTCAATGTAAGTGATTATGTAGAATAAAAATGGGGAATTTGATGCGAGTATGTGTAGATGTATTATATCAAAGAAGACGATGATATGTGAATTAAAAAAAAAATTTAAATAATCGCAAAAGAGAGGCACCTGTCGTCTCTAAATCTGACTACTTAAGCCCGCACACACGTTCTGCTTTTGGGCAGGATATAAATGTGTGTTATGTGTAATATGTCCCCACGTATATATATCCTATTTAATTGGCTAGCGTGCGCTACTGCTAAACTGCATACGTTATTTACTGTCTATTTATAGTTTTAAAATCATTAGTTCATTATACTTTCCACTGGGTATTAATATTATTAATCACCCAAACTAATTTTATTCAATAATAAGATATATAATATGACTAATGATTGGTTTTTTATACAATGTCATGCACATAACTAAACTGGTGAAATACTTTTTGACAGCACGTGTGATATTGCTCAACAATTATTTATCTTTTAAATAATAATAATAATAATAATAACAAATAATTGGACAGATTGAGAAATATTTAACGTGTGATGAATGAATGAATGATGAGAAACTTATATATAAATAAAGTAATGAAAATTGTATGTAACATAATAACAAGTAATGTAAAGTAAAATAATGAATAATTCGTGTATTTAATCTTTATCGCAAGCTTCCGTTTCTTGTTTCCACGAGTATAGACCACACTGGCTAATGTTGTTTTAATTAAGTAGGCGGTTAAAGGAAAGAGTAACAGTGTCTCTGTCTTTATCTGGATGTTTGAGTATCTCTTTCCTCTATTTATTAGAGTTTAAAAGAGAGAGAGAATGGTACATATGACGACATGTGTCTCTCGTATGTTCAGACGTGATGGACGATTTCGCGTGACTAATCGCTGTCCTCTCGGAGAATCTATTGAGATGATGAGAATGTGTTATTCCTGTTGTATAGCACTTGTAACTATCTTCTTATCCTCTCCTCTCTTTTCTTTCTTCTTTCTTATTCTTATTCATCTGCTTGACGGCGCTAACTGCCGAGCTTTTCAGAATTAGATATACTTGTATATACGTCTATACTGCTTACTCCTTTTATACGTTTTATTCTCTTTTTACTTTGTTTGGCTTTCTTTGAATCGTGAATTGCTTAAAATCACTACTAATTATACTTTAACATTTTTTTTTTTTTTTTTTTTTTTTGTTCTCATTGAATACTTTGAAATAAATAAAACAAAACAAATCTGGAACTAATTATCCAATTATTATTTAATTTTTCAAGTCCTCATTGGCAAATAATTAGCATATACTTAAAAAACTATACTAGATCAATTTTATCTTATAGCAAACGACTAATTAATCAATTTATACTTTTTAAATATTTTTAATTTTCTTACCGTGGCTCGATAAAATAAATTTGTCGCTAAAAGATATTCTAAAGAAAACGTTTATATCTCAAAGAAATTGCCTTAATAAAAATAGATGGCACCATTTGTTGCATTATTAATTGAGAAAGCTTTTAATTAGAGATTGTCAATAACACTACTCTGGTCCATCAGGCGTCACGTATATTGTAAATTTTTTTTTTTTTTAAATAAATAAATTGTACATCGTATATATTTTTTTGCAATTAAAAAATCAATCTTTTTATACCTCTGTAGTTTTCAAATATAATTTATAAACCACAAAACTTTTTCCCTGCTAATTTTTATCATCAGCTTAATTGATACACTTCTTATCTTCTAATATAATATATTTAGATTGAAAAAAAAATATTTCAATAAACGATAACAAAATTTTATAAAAATGTATCACGAAATAATAATTTTTATTAAAAAGATTACTCTGTGGCGACTTATTAGTTTTAAAACTACGTAATTAATAGAGTTATTAATTATATATTATATATATATATCTATAAAAAGAATCCCTCATCGAGCTACCATTAAATTTGAGATTTTAAAAAACATAACTGCGACAAACAAGTATAAAAATGAATCATCGAATTATTATTTTTATTTATTTAATTAGGGAATAACGTCATTACTATTGATAAATCGTGGTAAAATGCCATTGGTGTAGATATTTATTAAAAAAAAAAAAAAAAAAAAAATGACCCTCAGTCTGTTATCATTAGGCGCTGTACAATTGATTTATTAATTTATCGTATCTAATATAGTTGATCAAAATTTAGTTCTGTTCAGTATAAATTTTAGTCTATGAAATACGAGTGGACGGCATAAGTGGTATATAAAAAAATGTTAAAGTTTAAAATTTTACTTGTTGCTGCCGTGTTAGCAGTCGCAATTGCATCAAACGACAATGAATGTGTATCAAACGTTTATTTCAATGGCAGAGCTTATAATTACGACGTAGTAAAAAATATCGACAGCAACAAAAGATTCAACGAATTATCTTTTGTAGGAACTCACCATTCTGCTTCCTACGTAATTGATGATCCACTTCAAAAAACTCAAGATTGGACAATCCCGGAACAATTGGAATCTGGTGTTCGTGTTTTTCACTTTAAAGTTCAATCAGAATATAACGACTTGTCAATTTATTTGCGAGATAGAAAACTATCGTTAAAATTTAACGCTGATGTTCTGCCGATGATAAACGAATTTTTGGAGAATCATCCCGAGGAAATTGTTATTGTTTATTTGAATGAAGAGGGTGGTAACAGTGCCGTTAGTGGTTCCAATTGCGATGCTATGGATAATATTAAAAATTCAATGTCTGGTCACCGCGTAAATACTAAATGGACCCTTGATGACTTAGTTAGAGATTATCGAGGTAAAATTTTGATTGCGGGCGACAAATCATTCAAAGGTTGCTCTAGTATGTTGGAAAATGAATGCATGAAAGATGGATACACTCCAGCTAACAATGTTGATGATGTTATTTACAAATGGAAAGCTATAATGAAACTTCAAGAGTCAATGTATTTAAGAAGACATGATTGTTACATCTACGAACTTTATCTTCCCAATGACCTTCAATCTAACTTGAGATTAATCTCAGCAGACGGAGGATACAAAACTTCTGATGGCGAGTGCGCCGAGCCACTTAATACGCAAATGATCAACCGTTTTGAAGATTCACCATCCGGTCTGATTATTGTCATGACTGATTTTGTAAATCAAAAATTGATTAACGTGGTTCATGACAATAATTAATAGCGAGACGAGAATAATATTATCAATCATTTGGAGGAAACGCAGCTACAGCGATTACTTCTCAATCAATTTCAATTTATCTTCAATAAATTACCATTATATAATGAAAATTAAATAAAAACACATTCAAAATATATAATTTTAAATCTTAAAATAATTTTTTTATTATCAGTTTGACTTGTTTTTAATTACCAGTATAATCCATTAAAGCAGTGTGTGCGTCATACTGATAATACCATTTACAAAATGTGTCAATTAATTGTCATTAATGTTAAAAGGTTATTATTATTAGATTTTTAATTGTTATAAATTTATTATCGATGATTCATTACTCTTTTTTAATAAATGATTTTTAATGTTTTTTATTAGTTAAATACTTGAAGAAATATTTTTTTTTAATTAATTAGCAAGCTTTTATTTCATATTTTTATTATTATTTGATCGATCACAGTAAAAATCAGTAGTGCCTAAATCAAGAGATTCATTTCGTTTGTTGTATATACTACTTATATATTACAATTTAAAATCGAAGATACAAATACCCAACTTTCAATGTAGTGTCTTTAAATACAATACAGAAAATTTAGTAATTAAATATTTTTAAATTCAACGAATAAAATTCATTTTCAACCTAATTAATTAATTAAATGCATTTATATAGACTATTATAAATATAAATATGTCTAATAATATAAATTTAATAATACTTAGCAATAGACAGTCTATAATATTGTAACTTTTAAATTGTAAATAGAGTTATAATAAATTATTTATCTAAAATTTTTTTAGACTTGGCTAGGACCAGAATTTGATTCTGAATTTTGTAATTGATTAAGAAACTGTACATTGCTTGCCTTTATTCTAGGTCCAGAGGAAACAATTGCTGGACAAGGACTCAAACAGGGTGTAGAGCAATGACTATTACTTAAATCACATTGATCTAATAGCTTCCATAATTCTTCTGGCGATGGTCCACCAGCAAAATTTTTGGCTAAAAAAAAATTAATTTAAATTTAAATAACATTAAAAACTATTAAAATATATTTAATTACCTTGATGAGATTCAAAAGAAGGATCAAGGGCCGTAGTTAAATCCCACATTTGAATAGCCCCATTAGAGTGACCAGTAAATATAAATCTTCTTGGTCGCGATCCCATACGACTTGATCCCTCGCATTCGTGAACACAGAACGAGCTTATGGAACTGCCATCGACCGATTGTATTACGCATACGCGTTTTCCATTAGAAGCTAATCGTACATACAATTGATCTGTTTCGGGTACTACTTTTTGAACAAACACTTGTTCATCATCTTGTTCGCCAAAGGGCCCTAAAATAAATTCAATTATTTATTTATTTATTTATTTATTTAATACAGACCCAACAGCCAGAAGGGACAATAATAGGGTCATTAATACATACATTTTTATATTAACATATTAACAGTAGTATATATTAAAAGTTATTTAACTTACCAAAATCATTACCAGCGTCATTACTCAGCAAAGAATCAACAGAATCTAATGAAACAATTTTAAAACTAGCTACCGGTGTTGAACCTGGTTGAGTCGAAATCATACCTCGGAATCGAGTCAATGCCCAACTTCTACCGTGGTTATACTCTGAGCAAACAGATACCAAATATTTTTCAGACAATCTCACCTATGATAATAATAAGAGTGTTTATTATTTAATTGAGAAGAAATATAAGCTTGATATGATTTTAAATTCAAGTATAATATACTTTGGTAACGCTGCTCTGATGTACGGTAAACGTTTGGAAAAGCTGAGGACCATGACCTACAGTCTCAGGATGCTGGACTATAATTCTGACTATTCCAGACTTTGTTCCATAGGCAATCTCAATCCAATTTCCACAAAGACCTGTAGAAAGGGACAGAATATCTTCCAGTAAGATTATTATTATGCGGTTATTTTCTTGTAAGTTAATTAAATAAATAAATAAACAAACAATAGTGTTGGACATGTTAAATTATGGTTATTAATAATAATAATAATAATAATAATATATAATTTAAAAATCATGCGTGATATATGTGATTGCGTGTTTATTACTATTGTTTTTAATCTTGGCGTTACCTTCCCTCTCAGATGAAGATAAACTATTAATCCATAAAAGTAAATGGGTTAAATTGGCAGACTTAAACATAAGAGAATCATAAATCACGGCTTAGTACAACTGGATGCATAAAGGTAGCAGGGTTTAGGGCTTTATTTAAATTAACAAATAAACTCCGGAGAGGAAAGGTAGATTAATTAAATAATAAAAATAAATTAATAGTGATGTGAATAATTATTTATGAAATGATTGATAAGTTCTGTGATAATAATTAATTTATAAGTAGTGTACTCTCATTTCAAATTTATTAACCCATACTTGCCTTGTGCTACATATCCAGTTGTACGGTACGAAATCATGTGGCAAAAAATTTCATTATCAGTTCATTATAAATTATTTTTTTTCTTTTTAGCGACAAATACATAACATCTCTCAATCATAATCATTATTATTATTGTTATATATATATATATATATATATATATATTCATTATTATTAAATTTTAAATAATTATAAAACTGTAACTTACTTGTCTTTGGTGTAAGATAAACTGAAATTGCAGTTATTGGATCGAGATTAGGGTCTCTGTATAATTCTGTTACTAACAAGTCGTTGTCTTTCATTCTTAATGGAAATTTTTGCATATCTGTTTGCAAATACAATTCTTTTAGTTGCTATAATTGTATAAAAAAAAAAATTTTAACGCTTACCGATGTAGTAAATAGAACCGTTGTTACATCCAAGCAACAAAAAAGATCCAGCAGTATCAAAAGATGATATTGAAACGACATCTTGAATTTGCCAATGCTGAGACATTGCATGCCAGACTCCAATTTTACCGGTTGGAGACAAAGCAACCAATTGGCTGCCAATGAAAAATAAATACTCTACGCGTACATTTAAATTAAATGTACCAATATTAGTCTTAATTCCGTCTTCAGATACGCTCCACAAACGTATTTGACTCCCGTAAGATATAGCAACCATTTTTCCGTCAGCTCCGCTGCCCATTTTAGCATTGATAGCTACTCTTTCGATTATTGCTTCGACATGAGGACTAGTGAATGCATGCTGCCATCCTGACGAGTCTTTTAATCGGTAACATGTTATAAAATGTGCGTAAGCTATCACAATCCAATTGTGATGGGCTTTAATCATCTGAACTCTCAGAGGATCCACCCAGCCTGATGCTTGATGAGGACCAAATACCAAACCAACCTCATTTCTGAAGTATTTATTCATATCAGCGGAACTGTTACGGGCATGTCGGAGATCCAGTGATGGATTTCGCGAGTGTTGTAATCCTCTTTGTGGCAATCTGTAATCCAGTGACGAATTTCTCGTGTGATTTGACGTTGGCGGCTTTTGATTTTGTGGTCCTGTTAATTTAAAAAAAAAAATAATTACACCTTTATAGTAAGAATTACATCTAAAAAACTTTAGTATTATAAAAATTCTTACCATTTGTATTAGACGCTTGATTTGGAGTAGCTTGAGATGTGCTGGGTTGTGATGTTTCCGGACGTGGAGATGCTACCGTTCTTCCGTGAACTCCAACATCTGTAGTACTAACAGGCACACTAGCTGATTCTTGCAATGGAATACCTGGATAGTAATAATTGTTTTAAGTAAAATAATTATAATTAAATTTTTTTTTTTTTTTTTTTTTTTTTTTTTTAAGTAGAACTTACTGGGAGGCGGTAAATATCCATAGAATAGTACATCACCACAGGAGGAATGCGTTAGGTCTTCACAAAGCATCAATCTTTTAATTAATGGAGTGATACCATAGTACTCAGCCTCATGTCTCAGTGTCCTGATGTCAATACTTTTTAAATCAATATCTCTGGTACGCAAATAATTTAAAATAATTGAGAATATTTGTGGGTCTCTGTCAATAAACAAAGCACCAGTTTCATCCCGACGACTGGCAATTCGGTTACTCAGTAACGCTGTGAAAAATGAATCTGGGATCCAAGTGAGTGTTTGACGAGACGTTGAAAATCTTAATAACAAAAATATTGTTCATAGTAAACTCAAGTTCTAAAAGAAATATATGTTTTATTAATAATAGTGAATGTGTACATACCTAGTTCCGCCGACATTCAAGTGAATTATATCTCCCATAATGAGAGACGGAATAAGAGAAGATTTCATTTAGATTAGAACTGTCAACAGTTGTGTGTCATAAGAAATTGGAGTAGCCAAGTGTCATCAGTCATTCATGTGACGTCATATAATTTATTCTATGGTATTAAATTGAAGATTGATGATTGAAGTTAGGTTAGTATCGAAACTCTCGATACTAATCGAAAAAATTGAAAAAACGGAGCCTTAAAAACATTAAAAATTTTTTTAGACTTTTATAGCAATTAAATTATTATAAAAAAAAATTTTATTTTAAAAGTTCCACGTGTAAAAATTAATAAAAATTACAAGTGAAAATTTTTAAAAGTATTTTTTTATTATAAAAAATTTTTAAATTAACACAGCTGACGGCTAACTTCAGTGTGTTATAATAAACCAGACTGCCATCTTTGAAAAAAAATATCAGAGCTGCCATTTAAATAATTAGAGAGTCCATAACCTATAACAACAATCAACACTTAAAATATTTTGTATTTAAACAAATAAAATTATTCAGCGTTAGCAGTTAAATAATAATTTTTAATATTAATTATAATTGTTAAAATATCAACATGTTTTTATTGAAGGTAAATTTTTTTTTTCAATTGAATATTATTAACAAAACTTTAATGTTTCTAATAATAATAATTAATTATATTTATTGTAATTTTTTTAGAATATCAGTCAATCGCAAAATGTATCTGCCGGAATACAAATAAAAACTCTTGTTCAACAAATGACCTGTCAAAGATTTTTAGCGACCGCTCTGGCGACCAATAAAACAGTAATTTATTTTTTTTTTAATTACTTTCTAACAATTGATGAGATTATTTGTAATTATGATTATAATTTCAGCCTAGATATGATAAATTGTATAAGAAAGTTCAGGTTGAAGTACGAGGGAATGAACCGGCAGTGTTGACGAGCTACGGGACATTTGTCAGCGCTGCAGCTTCACATCTGGGAATTGAAATGACCAGAAAGTAAGTAAATTCATTTAATTAATCAATTTTTATTGTATAAAAAAAAAAATTGTTTTTATTTATTTCTCAGTACACAGCCGAAAAAAGCAATCCATGAACGTTACACTGTTTTAAAATCAGCATTTGTTCACAAAAAACATCGAGTACAGTATGAATTCAGAACGTATTATCGGTATATGGATTTTGCCAAGCTCACAGAATCAACCGCTGATACATTTTTAGAATATATACAAAGAAATTTACCCGAAGGAGTTGCTATGAAAGTCACCAAGGTTTGCATTTATTTATTTAACTTAAGCGAATTAAATGAGTGTTTTAATTAATTATTTTTTTTTTTTTTTTTTCTTTACACTAGACCGAAATTAAACCACTTTTTGAGTCAGTTCGTGAACCTTTAACTCAAGACACAACGCCCAGCTCACAGTCTACTGAAGTAACGGAAAAACAGTCGTGAGACAATAATAATATTATTAATTTGTTAGTAATTTTTTTCAAATAAGTAGGATACTTTTATTAAAAACATAAAAATAAAAATAAAAATATTCGTATTGTCTAATTAACAGGTTTTATTGTTATAATTTCACTTTTTATCTTGGTGCGTCGTTGCTCAGCCCGTTGAAATACTTCAGGAAATCCATTTTTTTTCCTAAACAACAAAGGCTCTGATTTTCTTTGTCTCATAATATTAACAGTCTTGACTGGGCTGTCTGTTGTAATTTTTCCTCGTAAGCGATTTTTACGATCTCTCTCAACCCGAGAATTGTAATTCAATTGCTGCCTACTGTTCATTATTAAATTGACATTTGGACTATTATCTGTTGTAATGCTTTTTCCTGTATTTTCAAGAGTATCAACACGTGGTACTGTTTTCCGATGATTTCTTATCAACTTAACGGTTGATACGCAGCTACGGAGAACATAGTCATTACCTACAGCCATAAAAATAATTTATATATTTATCATTAATTCCAAGAATAATATTTATATAATTATTCATAAACTTACCAACGATTGATGAAATATTTTGAGGATAAATATCGGTTATTAACAAAGATAAAAAAATACTTGACAGAATAAAATAATTTTTCATGATTGAAGAAAATCGTGTAAATAATAACAAAACTATAGCGAGAGTTGTATTTCTAAGAGCGCAGTCAGAGAAACTAATGAAGACTGTGTCGAGTCTGAAGGTTTTGTACACTCTTCGCGACTTGTCAATCACTGCAAATTGACGGGGATGCATAAAATCACCAAGGCATAAAGTAATATTTATAATAATATTTTATTGTCATTTTAGATTAAATTTAAAAAAAAATATTTTTAAAAACTATTAATGAAATATATAGTTATAAATTTAGTATTGGAGATTCACTCTTCTCGTGAGAATATTTGGCAACTAATGAAACTCGAGATTGGGTTTGACCCTCGCAAAACGATAAATCATAACGGAACCACCACCTTGGGAACAACCGGTTTTCCGTCACTAAATTAACACCCAAATAAAGTAATATACAATATAGATGTATATCGTATAGCCAGACACCTTTTTACTAATACCAATAAACGAAGGAGGCGTGCAAATTGAAAAAAATCAGTAAGATTAAGACGTCTGTTCATCTCACTTGTGCAGATGCAGCATCATTGTTGTCTTTGATGTCAAGAAAGAGAAAGAGGCTCGCTCATTTACTCACACTGACCAAACTTTAATGTAGTCGACCTCGAGAGCTGTTTTCCTGGCGTTTTCGCGCTTCCAGCTCGGCAGCCACTGATCCTTGGCTTGCCAAAAACGGAGCACTGCCTGCATAATTAAAAAAAAAAATAATAATAAGCTACAATCGTTCAATCATTTTTTTTCACTTTGATCTGTCAAGTTAGCTTGTTTAAATACTACAATATTTATCTCGGATGATTTAATAATTAGCTGAGACCTTGGCGCCGTTGTTTTTCCAAGGCTTCTCATAATTACCGGTGCGTGTACCGTCTGGAAAGACTCTCACTCCACCTACTCCTACACCTAGCATCAAGTAAAACTGAAAGATAAGATATTTTATTAAGTATATTTATCATGTCAAATAATGAATAGCTGTAAATATATTAAGTTACTTCTAAATCGTAGGGTGCCATGCGATTTTGGTCTTCAGCTTGTCTGGAACCTCCTCTTAGTTGACCAACAACCTCCCCGTCGATTTTAAAAATAAATCCTGTGGAATTCCAAATAGTTGTGTAGACATGAAAATCGCGAGTCCAAGATCCTGAGTCATGTCTCTTTGTTACTTTTTCTTCGGTAATATTCCCCGACGCTCCAAGTGGACCTGTTCGCAACCCAAATTCAACAACTCTCGAGCTGTAGTCTTCTAAAGAACCATCGTTTTTTATTAGTCCTTCATTCCCGCGGGCCATTCCTAAAATAACACGCCCGCTTGCATATCCAATTCCATAGGTCGTGTACTTTGGAGCAAGCCACAATTCTGAGCATCAAAAATTAATTCTCTCATTATTTATTTTAATTTATATGAATTATTTAAATTACCTGGATAGAGCCAATCACCCTCGGGAAATTTAGCCCGTATTTCTATTTTTCCATACCGGAATGAAAAGCTATCATGGGTTGTCAATCGTCTTGACAAAACTGGAGGCAGAATATGAAATCCTATTGCATTACGACTACATTCTCCTGGTAATATTCCTGTACAACTATTTTACAAAAAATTTATTATTTTCTCAGCAAGTAATCACTGAAAATAAAGTTAGCCCCGACGTTTTAAAATTTTTAGAAATTTTTTATTGACAAAATTGTAAATAAAAAATTTTTAAAAAAATTTCACCTGTAAAAAACTATAAGTGCAATTTTTTTATAAATATCTTTTTAGTTGTAATTTAATTAATAAAAAATTTTTAGACGTCTGCTAACTTCACTGTCATAGTGTAATTAGTATTAAAAATAATAAAAAAAAAAAAAAAAAAAAAAAGTTTTATTACTCAGCGAGTTGGAGTCTTCCAAAGTATGTAATATTTTCACCATAAAAGTCTTCAAGTAAATGAGGTTTTATTTTTAACAAGCCATCTTCTACCCTCAATCCTTTTTCCAATTTATGATAGACACAAAATTCATAATCCTATTAAAATAATAAAATTTTATTATTACTTAATTAATAGAATAAAAAAAAATGATTAAGATTAATAATTACTGGATCTAAAGGAATTTTAATTTCTCTCTTCCATACTGAAGAATTTAAATAGTAGTAATTATCTTCCTCTGCATAATCATTATCGACTGAAAGCCGATTAAAGTTTTCTTCAAATATTAATTCGTTTTTACATTTTATTTTATTTCCATTGACCGTTGTTGAACTGTTATCACATTTTCCCAAAATATTTTCACAAAACAATACCAATAAATAAATAATTATTAATTTTTTGTACTGCTCCATTACAAGTTTGTACTCGATTAATTAATAAATGTCACAATAAAGATGTATCGTAACTATTTAAATAATATCTGGTATTTCCTCTTGATAAATATTCCCACTTTATAATAAAAAACATTCATTATCACACATATATTATTTTTTTTGATAACTTTCCGCTAATAATTTCAAAATAAAATAAAACTAACCGCGCATGCGCGTGACTATCGGCGGTAGAAAAATCAGCTGACTGATGTTCGAATAACATCTCGTGTGTGTAACAGAGTATATATATATATATATATAGAATATAAAGTTTGTTTGATCGATAAACCCTAAATTAGGTCAATAATGTTGTCATTAGTAACCAAACTCAGTAGAGGAATCAAATTGTCACACTCTGTACTTATTATTACCGATAATTATCTTAATAATACACGCAAATATTTGTACCAACGATTGTCAAGAGGTTATAGTTCATTAAATTCATACAAACATTTATTTTTTAACAACAACAATAAACACACCTTTCATACAACAACAACAACAACAATAATTAATCATTATTCTGATAATCCATCAAATTTATCTCATTCGTAAGTACTTTGTCAATTATTTCATTTATTTTATTTATCACTAAATTAAATAAAAATTAATTTAGCAGATATTTGATGATTTTTATAATTTTTTGGAGCAAATTTGTTTGTTAAAAAAAAAAAAAAAAAAAATTGTTAAGTGACAGCTAAATTTAATGTCATATAAATTGAATAAAAATATTTTACAGAGAATTGAATAATGTGGAATTTGAAAAAATATCAAATGAGACACTTGACTCCTTAACGGAGTATTTTGATGAATTAATTGAGCACGCAACACATTTAAATGATGCTGATGTGTCCTATGGGGTAATTATACTATTTACAATCGATTAATTACTATCATAACTTGTGTAATAAAAGGTATTATTGTACTAATTAAATTGATGTTATTTAGGATGGTGTGCTGACAATTAAATTTGGTGGTGAATACGGGACGTACGTTATAAATCGACAAACACCAAATAAACAACTGTGGTTATCATCGCCGACATCCGGACCTAAACGGTATGATTTTATTGACGGTACTTGGATTTATAAACACGATGGTAAATCTCTTCATGAATTACTAGACACTGAAATTCCGAAAATTATAAATAACAGCACATCATTTCACGATAATTGTTCATACAGCAGCAAACGTATTAAATAAAAATTGGTTATTGCTAAATAAATAAATTATTAATTTTCAGTAGAATTTAAGTTTAAGGATTTATAATAATTAATAAGGATCATATATAATTATACCTTTTTTACCCTTATTTATTTGAAAAACTCTGATGTAATAAACAAAATTGATTGATATACTTGTGAATAATAGTATATTATAACGGTAATAATAATAAAGATTAACCTGGTAAGAAATTTGGGTTTAATATGAAAGAATTTTTTACACGCAAGTCAAGGGGAAAAATCTTTTCATCAATTCACTTTTTTGCTTACAATATAATAAGCTCTTTAGATTTATCTTTTTTGATAGATCATGGACGAAATTATGGAAGATGGAAATCTCGTTGATCGAGTTAGAATTCTATTGCAAAGAGACATGCAATATTACCAGGTAATAAATAATCTCTTTGAAATTTATATTAAATAAAATAAAATTATTGTACGGAGATGTACGTATATAACTAGAGCTATAAATTAACGTAGGCAATGCAGACAGTCCTCCGTGAGTCATTGTGTAACCGAGTGAGTGGTGGGAAATTGGATTTTCCCCGACACGCATCATTCGCAGCCGTCAAAATAGTTAAGTGGTGGGAAGCTGAGTTTCTTATTGCATTCAAATTTCCATCTGGGCTCTGCATTTCGATACAAAATAATTCTTCGGACCCAGCTGATGAAGTTATCAAAAAAACTAAACCCTCTGATTTTATTTTATTAGTTGTTGATACATCCGAGCAATTAATTGGTACTCGCCTCTTATTTTCTTTCATTATCTTATTATTAATAGATTTTTTTTAATTATTTAATATATTTTAGAGCATTTGCACACTTTAATCCAAGAATCACTCGACCACGCGGACTTAGCAGTCCTGACTGCGACGCTTGGAGCTGCTGCGCTAATTAGAAATTGTTTATGGTGCTATAATCAGCAGTCTAAAGATAAAATTCCCAAGCAAATAAGGTTTTTTTTTTATTTTAAATTTATCTTGTAAATTATTTATCAATTAATTATTAAAATTAATATAATAATCAGTGAAAAACTGCATCTGTGCTACAAATCGTATCAAGAAATGGCAGAAGCTGTAGCTGAAAAGCTTCTCGACCTCCATTGTCGATTAATTTCTCTCTACATTTTAAACGAAGCCGACTCTCTTAATTGGCAAAGCAATAAGCCTTTTTTCGAGCGAGAAAGATCATCATTTATTATTCAGATGTGGTGGCTGTATATGCAGGGTACTTACTACTATACAAAGCTTTTATTTGATAAGTATTATTTTTTATAAAAATAACATTTTTCATTCAGGTACTAAGACAGACTTATGGAACACTGTCTCACCTAAAATGGCCCAAAGAATATTTGCTGGAATGTTAAATGAATCATTAACAATTATCGTTTCTCGGTTTATTCACGTATTAAATTTTAATATAAATACCTGATATAATTGCAATAATAATAATAATAATGATAATTACTGTTAATATTAAAATAATAGGGACGTCCAAGTTTAACGAGGTCACAACAATTTTGGTCGGACGCATTTAATGTTTTGAGCTGCACTGGTTACCTCGCATTAGCTGCTTGCGCTGATGCCAATGAACTTATAGGATTACGAATTAACAAATTACCCATTGTGATGAGAGACATACACGCTAAATGTCGCAAACTGCTAATTTGTTTACTTTTGCGTGGTACACCATTGAAAATTCTCTATCAAGTGCGTCCATTAATTAACTATCGTATTACTTTTAAATGAGAGTGAATCAGCAGACAGCTAATTTTTTAGAATTTGTAGATTTATTTTAACTTAATGGTTGTAAAAAAAATCTAAAAAATTGCATAGAAAAAACTTTTAAAAATTTCCATGTGCATTTTTTTATACTATTTATTCTGTAATATAACAAATAAATTATTAAAAAAAATTATCAGATGTCTGCTAAATTCACACTCATTAAATTTAAATAATAATAATAATAATAAAATAATTAAACAGGCTTGTCGAAATGGATTAGAATACATGGCAACTCTAAAAAAACAATCAGGACCAGCCCCTTGGTTAATAATAAGTGCTCCAAAGCTATTTGGATCTCCAGCACTGAAGAGCGTTAATTTATCACTCCCAGAAGATCAAGCTCTTATCTTGGAGATAAATGTCCTGAGATGTCAACCACAGGCTAAATGGACGCAATTATTAAAAGTAACACGGGTTTTAATTATAATAACAGCGATAATAATATAATTTATGAAAATATGTACTAGGTGTTATCAATGAATGAATGCGCGGTCGCACGAATGCTACTGAGTACTCTAATTCGTCAATGCGTGGGCAAAAACGAAGACGTAATTTCAATGGAGAGATTGAAAGAAAATTCCGGAGATTGCGGTGGATTTTTATGCACAAGCTGTCAGCAAAATCTGTCAAGTTTGCCGCCTACTTTGTATCTCTACAGTCTGATGTACGTATTGATCAACACGGCCATGGATCCACTCGACGTTGTCATCCCCGCGCTCAAGCAAGATATTAATTGGTCCAATTATCTTGATAGACAGCAGGTATTATGTAAATCACGGCTATGCGGGACATAGCTGTTTCGTTGATGACATTTTAAAATATCCATGACACTCATTCTATTTGAATTGATATTCAATTGATATTCAATAAAATAAATCAGCACTCTATCGCTTAATCTTTTAATAGGTATGGAATCAATGTCGAGCTCCCTGGCTAAATGCTCTTTTAGCACCATTTAAATCCATCATGACGCCTATTGTTGATACTCTGCTTGACGCTATAAAGGTATTTTAATATTATTAATAAAAATAATTCAATTTAATAATATGAAATATAACAATTAGACAGGTGCAAGTATTTATCAAACAATGTCCCTTGCATTGGCTTGCTTTTCTGAGCTTTTTATGTGCACTCCAATAACCGTGCTGCGGATTATTAATTTGATCAATAAAAATATACCCGCTCACTGTCATCCAATAGGCGGCTCGGTATTCATCCAAATATTCTGCGCTGCTCTTTACTCGGAATTATTAAAAGAATCAAATGCAAACATTGATACTCTTGATAAATCAGAGGTCCAAGAAACTCCAAGAAGCATTGCTGATTCTTACTCATTTGATCCTCAAGATAAACCCGCCTCTGCAACTGCACTTGCAGAAGCCGTTTGTAGTATAGACGAAGACAATAAACACACTGCGCAAATAGATGCTGTAATCAAACGGGCTGAAGCTTGGTAAGGACTATTAAATTATAGACCGCTTTTAATATTGTTTTAAATCTCTTTACGGCTTTCTTTAATTTAGGATCATTTTTATTCTTTTGTAGGATTAAAGAAGAAGAAGAAAATAGTCCGAGAATGAAAAAGTTAAATACGAGCTCTTTGTGGATTGAAACTTGCGCTGATGAATTATTATTTACTGCAATTGGACGGAGATCTTTAAAAGTAAAAAATAAATTTTACTTTATTTGGATAAAAGAATAAAAATTGTAATTTTTTTTTTTTTTTTTTTTTTTTAGATTACTTATGAATATTTGATCTGCGCTTCGGACTGGATTTTAAATAATCTGATTGAAGGACCGGATTTAATGAAAAAAGACTTTTTGAATACTACCGACGCTTATGTCCCTGCCAAACCTCTTACATATGTCATGTTTCATATCGATAATAATCCATTTGATCAGGTAAACCTTTGATAAAATATTTTTTATTCAAAGGAGTTTTATAAAATAAAAATTGGAGTTTTGTTTTAGTGGCTAACAAATTTAGATGAAGCAAATTGGCAAGTTATGCTGAACGTCCCGTTATCAGTGACTCTAGATCGAATTCAGAGCCAAATTCTCGTGAGACCCGAGTTTAAAAACATCGGAGAACTATCTCTTGACGATAAAGATGTTGCGATTGCTTTGAAACAGTTATGCTCCGCATCACAATTTACTACTTTTGAATAATAAATAATTATTGTTATTGCTACTCATGTATTATATTTATATTATTATATATTTAAGAGGGTTCAGGTAAGTATAAGTATAAATATTTATTATGATGCAGAATGATCACAATATTTGGCACATTTATTAATTAATAATAAATCATATTAATTATAGTATTTTATTTTTAATCAGTTTTATACTTAAATTAATAAATAAACAAATAATATTAGCTAAAGAGCTTTGTAAAAAATATTTCTACAATTGATTAATTATAATATATTTATATTTATATTGACATGTAATTATAATAAGTATATATATATATTTATATATTTCTGTGTGTGTAATATATATGAGAGAGCACGAGAGACACAGATAGAGCCAATAACTAACGACACTCTGCCATTTTTTACACTTATATGTTTTTTACAATTTTTTCAAAGTATAGTTATTATAAATTTAAAAAAAAAATTCAGGACATAATTATAAAAAATGAAAAAAAAAATATATATATATAGTAAGATTGAAAATGGGATTATAATATTTTTAAGATAATATACTTATTATTTGAATTTTAGCATAAATTTTAATATTAATTATATTGAAAGAAAAGCCTTTATTCAGTAGGTATGAAAATTATTTCATATATAATACGCAATGTAGCCAGTAGTCTCAATTGTCCTCAAAAGATGCTGGGTTTGATGCCGATCTCGTTAATAGATTTCCCTGTAAATAAATTCAATTTACTTTTTATTTAATAAACTCCCGGAAATTGCTGCTAATAGACAGATAATTTGACAACAGACGACGAGTCAATTAAATTTTAGTCATCTGAATTTTAATTTTACTTTACGGTATTTTGTCAAACTAGTCACGTTACTTGACAAAAAATTTTATTCCAAAAAGTTTTTAATGTTACGGAAATTTAATTTATGCAAATAATTTTTAAGAATCTTGAGTTCACAATAGACGAATTAGAGGACAGTAAACACTCTTCCGTATCTCCAGTAAATTATTGTATAACAAATTCATTTATTAATTTATCAGAGTGTAAAAAAGGGAAGCATTCTCCCGAGATTAATTCTAGAAGATAAAAAAAGCTTTCTTGGTAGGTCTTTTGCTCCAGTCTTGTTGAATTTACTTGCAAAAAATTACAGTCTATGTATACACAGATAAATTTCCCGGGCATTAACGTTGACCTATGTCTTTTAAATCGTTTGAAAAAAAAAAAAAAAAAAAAAAAAAAAAACTGAGATTATTTGGCTTTCAGGCTATTGCGTGATAAAGTACATGCACAAGGACAAATGTGACGACAGGGACATAATTTACCTTGGGCATCATTGGATCAGAACGGCCAAACCGAAGACGCAGGGATGGTGAACGCTGAGATTTTCGTATCATCAGATGTTCGTACGGTGAATCAAGAGACATTGATGATCTCAACCCTTCCAGAGAATTACGTCGCAACAAGTACCTGTAGAATTCCCTCAGATTTTCGATATTGCGGTCGGCATTTTCTTCTAAAAAATTATTATCATTTTATACTTTAGAGGATTATCGATTGCGGGTCGTGAGTTTAATTTCAGAATAGAAGCAAAAGGTCATAAACTAAAATATTGAATTATGTTATTATCAAAGTTATTAATTTTTTTTTTCTTCTTTAGTTACTTTAATTAAATTGTCAGTGATAAAATAAAATAACATACTTATATATCGCAGACTTTTAATAGCTTTCTGAAGATACTTTGTTATGGGTAATATAAGAATATTTTTACGACAATATTATGATCACTCGTGAAAGTATATAAAAAAAAATGATATTAGGCTCTTACTCTTGGAAATATTGCTAGAGACAAAATATTTATTACTCATTAACGTCGCCACAATTTTTTATTATTTATTAATTTATTATTATATTGGCTCTTTGGCAAAATGTCAGAGTTTGCGATTAATAAGTAATAAATAATTAAAACTCTTAAATAGAGTTTTAAAAGTTTGAATACAATAGATAGATAGATAGATAGATGTTATAATTTGTATCAGTGAACGTCAGTGATAGTGTGTGACGTCTGCTAAAATCTAAAAATTTTGTTTTTCTTCTAAATATATGTAACTTTTTATTTTTAATACCCTTGAAGTCTGTAGAAGAGTAATCTGGCCTAACTTTCCAAAGATTTGATGACACCCTTTCTAATTTTCGGATTTCTATTTTTTTTTTTTTTTTTGTCAATACCTTTCAATTTTTCTATGACTTTTACCTATTTTTGTATTCATAATAATACAGTGAAAGTATCATCTCATTTTCTATTCCAAATTGAAGACTCAAGGTAAATTTCGAAACTACTCATGAAAGTACCTTGATTTCCAAGAATTAGAAAATGCGATGACGCACGGACAATTGCCCTTCACTACCTTTCATTTTTTTTTTTGGAATAATTTACCTATGAAGCCCATACAATCACTGATGCTGCTAATCATATAAATACCGCCCGAAAATCATTTTTTGGCAGTTCGATTTCGTCCAGGATACCACTGGTTAGCTCCGCGTCGGTCGGCTCCGGGCATCAAATTCTTCGGAAGCACAAAGTACTCCGTGATACACACGAGACAGCGCCTTGCTCGTGGTTAGGTTACATTTAGTAGCACTAACACGGTAAATTCATTCGATATTTGCCACAGTTATATTCCGTTTTTCTTTTTATTATTTTCCGCCGTTGAGCGTTGATTTTTCCGCGAGAATCGCGAAGTATATTGTTTCCACCGTTGAGCGTCGATTAGTGTTAAGATTTCTCCGTGATACACGAGATCCGGTAATTCGGTTGTGAAAATATCTTAGCGTCGATTGAGTTTTTCTAAGTTTCGCGTAAAATCGCGAAAATACAAATAATTCATTATTAGTAAATACTTAAATTCTCCGTGACACACGAGATACGGTATTTCGATAGTGAAAACTACCCATAGAAGGTGAAAGGGCCCATTAAATTTGAGCCTCTATACATACTTCCAGGGTAAGCCCAAAACATTATCTACCTTTAAGACATTATTTCTTTTCTAACATTTGTGTTCTTTTATCTCTATCTTTATTAACCGTTTTGTAAACCCAAATTTGTAACACTTTTACTTGTTTTTCTCAATAAATTCAAACAAATAAACAAGTTGATTCACTGCTCATTTTACTTTTAAAATAAAATAAGATATCCTTTACAAAATAAAGTTACAACTAAATAATAGAATAGGTTACTCGTGACCGAAGTCAGCAGGATCCATCATCCTTACTCTCTCTATAAGTTAACACTTAGAGATAACGTTCAAGCTTGTGTACCGCTCCACACTCCAACGCAATTTTTAATTTAGCTCCCGAACGGACAAAGTGATAACGTTCAGATATTTGAGATTTCTATTTCATATTCCTTGCGCCCATCACTCACCCCGTTCGTGACAATAGCTATTTGGTTGTTGATAATCAATTAAATGAAAAAAGTTCCTCAACTCCCATGCGGCTCTTTTTCGCTCTCAGTTTCTCGGTTGAATCGAAAAAAAAAATCTCACATAACAGTTCTAGTGTCCAACACTCCCCAGCGACGGTAAACGTACGAGACGGTGCCAAAAAATCTATCGCCTTTCGGCCGGTTGACTAAGGTTCATAGTAATGAAAAAATAATGAGTAGAAAAAATCCGTCGAGTTTAACTTTTACGCAATAGATTCTCCTATTATCCTTTATTTATAACACTCTATTTCAATTACATACGATCTTTGCAATATATTTTTTATAAATATTCACCTATTGTATCCACTCTGTATTATTATTCTCTATTATTTCGGCGATCATTGATAAGATAAAATTAATTAAATAAATGATAAAATTCATTATCCCGGATGTCGTTAAAGGTTGTGACATTATTACATTCAATATAATATTTATTTTTTTATTTACTATACTCAGTCAGCTGTTAAAAGTAATATATGGCAATTATATTAAATACCAATATTTTATCAGAAAAAAATAAATTAATAAAACCCTTCAATTAAAACTTTTCGCCAATTTTACTGTATTAATTTTTTTTTATAAATATTTAATTACAATTAAAGTTTATAATTAATACTGCAATTATTTTTGTGACTTAAACTTTTTGCTATTTGTATATATAAGAGTATATAACAATAGGAATTAATTATTAATTTCCTGGATTAAATACAACAACGATTTTAAAAAAATAAATCCAGGAAGAAAGTTTTACACGGATAAAAATAAAATCCGGAAATTAATGAGGTATCATGTTAATATTTGACACACAATATTTGATATTTTTTTATCTCTAAATTTTTTTTTTGTTAACTTAAATAAACTTTTAGCAATAGTGGCGAGACAAGAGAAATTTTGAATTAATAATGAATGAGCTTTATACCTCCGTAATCCAGGTAACTTTCTGCAGCAAGTGCAGCCCCCAGGATGAAAAACAAGACAATAGCGCATCTGTAACTCCTCATTATGCTTCCTTTGTTATACCTGAACCTGAAACCACAGCAAAATTTTTGTTTTAAGCTTTTAATTAATTTATTATTATACATTAGTTGTTTTACATTTCCGTTAACATGGTACTTTTTTATTTATTTTTTTAATAATAATCCAGAAAGGAGTGACGACATTCAAATAGCATGTCGGATATAGAGTTGAATAATAATATATCGCATCTGTGAATAAAAGTATTGAACAATGCCTTTAAATTTACCTATGTCAGGTTAAACTTGGGCTTCGTCAATGGAAATAAAATATAATACAATACAGTATAAAATAAAAATATTTTTCTTGCTCAATGAAGAAACTGTACGAATGTTTATTACTTAAAAAAAAAAAAAATACTTAATTTTTGTATTTCTTCTTTACACTTTTGAAATTTCGGGATTGAATAATTTAAAAGTATAAAAACATTATTTTTATTTAACTATAAATAGAACATGATTAATATTTATGACATGCACTTTTTTAGATTGAATCGTGTGTAAAAATTTTCACGCGCCATTTGCTTCCTATATTGAGGTAAAATATAAAAGTCATGTGAATTTATTTTTTTTTATTCTAAGAATTGAAAGAAACTGGATGAAAAGATTGATTAAAAATTAAACAAGAGTTTAATTAAGAATGCTAATTTAATGTAAGTTTTATGAAATATTTATTAAAAAGTAGAAGAAGAAGATAGAAAATATATTAATACATATATAATAATATATAAAGTGACTGTACTTGGAAATTCTTGAAGCTAATAAAATAATTACAAAAGTTTTAATTTAGTCGCATTTTTAAATAAGTAAATATAGAAATTGCTAATTCTCCGTCGGAAGATTTAAAAAAAAAAAAAAAAACTCTGCTTGACATGGAATAATAAAAAAGTGTCAGAGAGATAGTAATTACTCCAAGAGCTTTCTACAAAAAAAAAAGTATATCCATTATGCTAAAAAAAATAATTAAATTATTAATCTATATTAGTATATAGTTATACTATTGACATGGTTTTATTATTCAGCGATTGTACTGGCGTATGAAAAGAAAATCAAAATGAGATTTATTTTTATCTAATAAAGTATTAGTATCGAGAGTATCTAGATACGCTAGAGGGTAAAAAGAAATAATAAAAAAAGTTGTAAAAATAAATTACAATAAAATAGAGAAAAATGATTACGCGATTAAAATTAATCCAACGTTGACTATAACAACCCCATGGTCACTTTCTGTGCTAACAATGTACCTTTTGCTGTTGTTGTTTTTGTAATTACCATTTAAATAGTCGGTGTTTACCAGGCACAGTGCAAATGTTACAGTCCAAAACCGACAAAAAATTTAACGTCGAAACTGAAGACGTCCATTCGAGCTATTAGGAACCTTTTTATATACGGATTTTTATTTACTGACAATAATGAATCCTCAAATTTATGACATTTGATTGATTAATGATTTATCACCTTATGAAGCGTTTAATTTGATGTTCTATCAATATTTCAAATTGTCTCCATAAATACAAAAATTATAAATATAAATTGTAGATTAAGTTTACACACCTGTGCATTCAACAACTAACCTTGTGTTATTTACCAACAATACAATTTCAACATTATTATCTACATTTTCTATTTAAAACAAACAAGAAATATTTTTTTTCAGCGTTATTCCTGAGGACAATAAATAAAAAATAATTACTCGTTAATGTTCACGTCTCTCGCGTTTACAGAACTAAAATCAAAAAAGAAAAATCAACGACAAACTTGACTTGAATAATTAAACGGGCAATAAATTAATCTCGTTTAATAAAATGTTTGCGCTAACATACGATAAATTTACTGTTGATATTTTTAAATTATTAATTCAATAAACAAATATTTCTCTAAAATTACCAATCATCTGGATTATATTTTAATTATTTCTCTTTAAGTTATCAATATTATTTTATGACCATACTGTCAACAATGATGATTTATAGTTTCAAATATATATTGCGTAATTTATTTATTGAAACAATAATATTTATTTAATATCCTAATTTGACATTCAGCAAATTAAATTAATGCTCAATTGCTACTGAAAATATTTTTTAACAACCAATACAGATTAAACTGTTTTATAAAGTAGAAATAGTACGCGAATGGTCAGACCGCAGGATAATTAGTTAAGATTAATTTAATGTGATTTAGTTTTAAACTAAAAAAAAAAAAAAAAAAAACTATTTATCTTATTTAAATAATTTTGGTGAAATTATCGCACGTTTTTGCAATAAAGATTTATCTGATAGAATTATTAACATACATGAGCTATGAGTTTTGTGTTTAGATATAATACGAGGGTATAAAGTTTAGACCATTAAATCCAATACGATTTGGTGAATTTGATCATACAATAATTACAGTACAAGCGGCGTATTTTAGATTGAACAAATATAGAGGTATCAATTTCTTGGTTTAATCTAAAATAATAAATGAAAATTATTGTTGATATCCAATAGTAAAATTTACGACTGGTGGTTTAAAATTTACATATTGATGATGAAAAAGAAGATATATAAAAGTATATGAATAAAGGATGTCATAATAAAGTATAAAATTTGTGAATTTGTGTGTTAACGTATGATTATAGAGAAGAAAAAAGAAAGAGTAATCTCATCTATTCTATATATGTATATGACGGTAGTTTGTATCTGTTATTTGTGTGTTCCACCTGTGGGAGCTAGTAATTTGCTTGGTGAAGCGTGTGCTCCAATATCCACGAGCCCTCTAAAAGTTGGGGATAGGAGTAGAGTATTTTTTACCTTTTGTGCTCGCTTGCCCGTACATTCCGTCGATTATACGTGTTTACGTGCGAGCTTCTCTGGTATATGGGACCAACTTGCACGCGACTATCTAAGTATATTACCCATCCCGCTATAACGCGTTTGACGCCACTAAAAATATTACAAAAGAATAGTATTACTAATAAAATGAAACTCTAGTCTGTAGTTTTTATCACAAAAGACTCAAAGCGAAATCACTTTTTATATTCTATCTTCCTGCTTCGTTGGCATTCGATTTTATATTCACCAGAAAGGTTAATTTCCTTTGTACTAAAAAAATATCTTTTTTCATCACGGTAATTAATTATTACTATTGACATTTTTTAAAAATTATTTTTAATTAAAATTTTTATCTTAAGTAAAAAAATGTTTTTATAAAAAAAGATTTGAATAATAAAAAGTTATTTTGGATTACTCACCGGAAAAAAAGGTTTAGCAGCCCGGAAACCAGAGGATTCACTTAGTCAGTCTTCCTGTTAGATTAGCACAAAAAAGATACTAGTTGCGGTAGTATCAGATAATACAACCCCTGAGTAATTTTCAACGACGGTAAAGTTAGCGCAAGAGTGACGAAACTCTGCCGGGCGCTTTTTATATATATCAGCCAAGGGTGGACGACAGGTGGGTGAATCTGGAGAGGGTAAAAGGGCGGGAAAAGTTGCCGAGCAAGTAAGCGCGCAAGCTCGCTGTCTATCGCGACAATTTACCCTATACCTTGCTCTTCTCTTTCTTCTTTTTTAGTTATATATGTATGTCTATACTCATCCCTCGATGTGGTCTACATTATTTACGACCTGCTATCTTCATTACGGAATCTTTCAAGAGCTACTGTCAAGATGAACGAGTCTTTGCCAAGATTTTACCTTAACGAGGAACATTACGAACAGCAGGGCTGCTGAATACATGGATGTCTTTTAATTTCCTTCAATCTCCTGATTCAAATGACAGCACCAGCATACGTCATATTTTACCAATTTACTTTTTTTTTTTTTCCCAACTTTCCATTCCTTCACAGTTTCTTCTTCTTCTTCCTCTTGTTCTTTTTTTTTTTTTTTTTTTACCCACGTGGCTACGTATAATCCTACGTGACTTGTTCATTTTCGTTCTCTTGTACTCTTATTTTCCTTAGCTTTTTTTATTTCTTCTCATGTAAAACATGTTTTTTTTTTTTAACATTTGCACGACCACACTCTAAATAAATTCCGTGGACGTAATACGAGAAATATACAAGCCCTGGCGTTGAAACCTAAAACACATTCTCTGATTAAAATTTATCCACATTTTCATTTTTACCAGGAAAAATAATGCTTATTTTTTTAGTAATAATTTTTTTTTTTTTTTCAGACGCCTACGATTGACATCGTGGGTGTGGCAATAAGACATATTACTTCCTTAAGGACTCCAAAATATATACATTAAAAGTAACTTCAATGAATGTTAATGATAATGAAAAGGTGATTATAAAATAAAAAAATATTATTTAATCCACTCTTTGGTTATTACAATAAATGAGATCATTATTATGGAGCTAGAGTGGGTATAGGATCAAAGTTTCCGAAGATAATTAACGTTGAGCTAGTCAGAAAATTTTCTAACTCTTTAAAACTATATATATATATATATATCTATCTCGTGGTGAAATATTATCCGTAATCTAGTAATTAATATGCGTAAATTATTCATTTTATTAAAATTATTGATCAGTGCATTGGAACTTAATTTATAAAAAAATATTTGCATTTTTATTAATTAAACAAAAAGTAATAAGTAATAATATAATTGGTAGATAGAAACATATGGGTGAAACGTCAAAAGAGCAAAAGACAGTAGCAATATTGAGACTACTAAAACACGGGTTCTTGAGCTTGTCTACCCTTGACAACTCTGACATACCGCTTCAGTATACATGTGACGATGTGACAAGTACTGCTAATGTCTAAATAAACACATGAAATATTATTGTCTTTCTTTAACGCTACGAGGGTAAAAAATATCTAGCATATATTTACACATCTTTTTATCGAAAGATGCCCAATAACATCATTTTAATCAATTAAATTATTTTTTTTAGAGTAAAATATTACGCTTAACTCTATTATTATCATACAATTAATTTTATAATAGAACAAAAATACATCTATTACATCTATTACATCCGAGTATTTAGGGAGATGATGAAAAGTAAACTACGACCCTCAGATTTATTCACGGTCCATCGACTATACGAATATTCACCGGAATACGCCGCTGAATATTATCGTGAATAATTTTTCTTTCCTTGTTTCTTCCTCGGCGTTTATTATTACAGTATGATATAATTTATAGAAATGAAACGGTTGACTGGTCGAAGAAGTTTGTTATCTTTTTTTTTTTTACTGATACAGAAACTCTAACAATTAATCAAAAAGAAAAATGAAGACTTATTATTCTTTAACTAACAAATGATACGAATTTTCGATCTCTCTATTGTTGTTAAACAGCTTGACCTCGTCATTGGTATGTAGGCTTTTATCAATTGTTGAGTGACCAATAGTATCTAATCAGTAATCAGTTTCCATCGGTATTGATTTATTATATACCCTGTTTTCAATGGGATAAAGAAGACGTTTTTTTTTTTTTTTACTTTTTTTTTTACTTTTTTACAAAAGAATTTTCAACGTCCTCGACAATGAATTGCTATTTTTAATTTCCAATAGATTCCCCTTAACTTTTAGAAATAAAAGATAAATTTTGATAAAATAAAAAATTAGTGACGTATTTAAATAATTTAAAACATCTGTCAACTTTGCGTTCACGCTTAGTGAATATTTGTCCTCTGCTCCATAAATTGTAACGCGTAACACTCTAGAGATAACAATTTTATATATCATCGTCAACACCAAGTGTTGGATCAATTGATTAATAACCTTATTTTGATTATTTTCAGATAAAAATGAGCCATTGTTTAATTTATAATTACAATAAATAATTACCTCCATATTTGTTATTTATTATTAGAATGTATAACATATGACGTCACCAAGCTTCCTCAAAATCATCACCGATGCTCGTAATTGGTGGCAGTGAAACATAGACCACACGAATGGAATTAGTAAATCCTTGATCGTGAGTACGCCATCCCCCTACGACCACCACTGGATCGCCCACTTTAACAAAACTTGACTGACGAAGGTAATTCATACCGCATTTAACTCTCGCCTCAATGTCCTCACTCCAATTTGAATTTGTTTCACCTGTATTTACATAAAACAATCAAATATGGTTAATACAAATATCTTGCCCATTATATATTTAATATTTTTATCAGACAAACAAAAGAAATTACGATAATATCTTATCAATTGTTATTATTTACCATAATGATCAATTAAAAAAATTATATTTGTACTTATATAAATATCATCCCTCTTTTTGGTGTCTAGTTTCAACATCATCCTCGTGACACAAGTACTGACATCAGTATGACGTCAGTGTATATTGATAAAATTAATAAGTAATAATATAATTGTTATTTGATTGTCTTACAGGTGTAGTGAATAGGATGAATGGCAAAATAAATTCTCAGGCATTGAGAAATAATTCGATGCCGCGTTACAGCAACTACAGGACACCGTGGTCGATAAATAGACAGAAGCATTGCAGCTCTCCCGGTAGTTGTGGTAACAATAATTCCCGATGTATTTAGCTTCATTGACAGCTCCACTGCGGCAATAACAACCCCGTGGGTTGAGTCAGTTGGGATTGTAATCTACGACAATTAAATCAAATTAATAAAAATTTATATTTATAAAAAAATTTTATTAATAACTTTTTTAAAATTGGATAAATAATAAATAAATAAATAACTAAAGACAGACGAGCGTTATTACTTGACAGATAGAGAAGTTTAAAATGAATTACCACGAGTCCTGTTGACATACAAGCTAATGGATTAAGCTCATATGTCTAATGATCGATTGTTAAATATATCTTACTATCATTTTTCAAGAAACATATTATTTGGTCACAGTGACGTATATTTATTTAATAATAAATACTTGCTCTTTTTCACAACGTCATCAATAAATAATTAAATAACAAACTCTGCTATATTATATATATATTATTACTATTATTATTATTATTATTATTATTATATAATAAATAACATTTCAGTTGTATAACAAATCTAAAATGGAAAAATGATAAGTTGGATATCTAATGACAAGTTCTAATACATTGGGAAAATATTTTTTCCATTTCCTCGTTGGCGTTCTTTTGATCTGTGACATTCATTTATTCACTCAAAGTTTTACTTTAATCATCCTCTTTATTTACTTAGAGTCGCTATTTAATTTTTTTTTTTTTGACTTGCCCAAGTACACACAGGATATCATCATAAAATATATAATAAAGATATTGAGTACCTTGTAACTGAGCTCGTGAAAAATTTGTCTTTGCCATCTCGCGGATTCCGCCTCTCGGCACACAAGGTCGACGTCCTCGATAACTTTTACAAGTTCATTCATATCAACAACAGAACCGGTGGCTAAAAAAATACCGTCAACACCCTCGAGAATTGCATTTGCCAGAAGGTCGAGGTCCAGTTTCACTCTATCGTCGGTTGTTGACACGCGATGGGTTAATATTGCCGGCTTACCAACCTGTTACCAAATATAAATACAAAAGCACACATCTACATTAGTTATTAATAAAATTACCGTTTATATTTATGGCTATATAGATCTTTCAGGATATCTACAAATCTACATATAAATAAAAATGTAAATATTATATAATCATATATATGCTTTTCATTTATATAATTTGAGGTTTGTTATACAACATAAAACAGATATGACCTGCTTTCTGTCTTTTCTCCTAGCTCTGGGACACAATTATGTTAATTAATCTCGTTAATCATATTTTATTAACACAGCATACTAAATAAAATATTTATTATTATTATTATACTTACTCGAACACACTTGGCAATCATTGATTTTTGGGCTAGGAATATTTTCTCGGATCCAATGTCCACTTGAAGACCCTCTCTGTCAATCACCACGCCGTCAGCCACTCGTAGAATGTCGTCAAAATTATCAACACCCTGAGACGAAGATATTTTAGCGAGCGTACAAATTTGATGAGTAGTACTCGACTCTTCAATGCGCTTCTTCACAGCAGAAATCGTTTTACTGGTTCGCACGTGCGAGACTATTAAAAAATGACACTCGAGTTCAAGTGCAAGATCAATGTCTGCATCGTCTTTCTCAGATATTCCTGGTAATTCCAAAGATGTGTCAATCGCCTGAATTATTTTGTTCTCGTATAGTCTTCCCGTGTTCATCACTTTACATTTAATGTAATCTTCACCTGTTATTGTATAAAGTATAAAAAAATATTAATTATCGATTGTTAAAATACTATAAGTTTTAGCAGATGTCTAAAAATTTTTGATTTTTTTTTTTTTTTTTTTTTATTAATTAAATTACAATTAAAAAGATATATAATTCTAAAAAATTGCACTGCTTATAGTTGTGTTCAAGTTTTTTAGATGTGAAATTTTTTTTTTTAATTGTTTAATTTAATTGAAATTTTTTGAATAAAAAATTTTTAAACGTTAAAAAAATACTTGACCTGTTTGGTCGACGCTTAAAGAAACAGCACCGCGGTCTAAAATAATTCTGTCACCAACTTGTGACGCTTTTGGTAATTCTGGGCAAGATGTCCAGAGGCTTGAAGATTTTCCACTAGGTTTATTTTTACTGTCCGCTAATAGACTTACGTCACTGCCCTTTACAAGTGTGGTGTTACCCTAAAAATTAATGGCATATTATTAGATAAATTATTTAATTATTTTAGAGGGAGAATATAAGCATATATCAAATTAACGATTTTAATTAAACAGAGAGAGAGTTTTACGGTTGAATTGGAGTTATCATTAAATATTTTAGCTCGTATTTCAGGCCCACGTAGATCAAGAGCCACTGATGGAGGATTAAAGGTTTCCAGTTGAGTACTTAATTGTTCAGAGGCTTCCAGTAAATTGTTAACCGCTTTCCGATGCCAATTTTCATCGCCGTGAGACACGTTCAATCGTACTATGTCGACATTATTGATTACTTTCGCAATATCCTCAATTTGGACATTATTATCGCCTGAAATATTTTTGCGGTCAGATAAACACAATAAATGGATTATTTAAACAATTGATATAACACGATAATAGTTTATTAGCGGCGTGTTTATAAATACTGAGGGTGATGATGATTCTGGTGAGTCGTGCGGGTGAGGGTTTGCAGTTGATATTCAATTTAATTTCATGATCGATTCGAGTACATTGATATGCAGCATCCAATTGACGCTCCGGTAGTACAATTTGCGACTCTAATTTCATTATCTGTTATTTAATTTAAATATTTCTCTGTATGCTAATTAGGTCATTATTGTTTTATAATTAAAGTTTATTTTTTTTTTTTTTTTTTAATATTTTTAATTAATTTAAAGTAAAATTTATTATTATAATTCTTATGTCTTTACCGATAGCTTATTCTTTAGATTTGAAGAAATTTTTGACATTTTGGAGTTTTACAATTTTTTTATTTATAATTTTATTAAACTATCAAATTTATCATTTTTTAAGTAATTTAGTTAAAAATATATATCCAATTAAAATATCATTTTGACAGGTCAAAATATTTATTAAAATAAATTGAACTTAGTTAGTTATAAATGCATTTGTCCTTATTTTTTAAATATTGTAACGCCATCTTTGATCAAATTAATGAAATTTTTAAATTTACCGATCGATACTCTAACTTATTGATTTAAGTTAAGTTTTTTAATATAAATAATTATATTTTATAATTAAAAAAAAAAAAATTTTTGTCTTCTAGGTAATTATAAAATAAAATAGACAAATTTATTAGTGATTCATAATTTATTGATATTTATCATTAAAACACTATACAATGTTTATTAAATTGTTACAACTCCGTGCGCTGCTTTGATAAAACACTATATATTTCAACAGTAAAATAATACTGGTCTAAGAACAGCAATTAAATATGATAAACATTTCTTCTTTTAATTTAATGCAATTTTATTACATACTTTTTAATAATTAAATAAAATTATTGATCATCGGAAAGTTAACTTGAATTGGCAGATCATAAATTATTTTCTATTTTATTTTTTCTCTTCTTGACTCATCATCTTCTTTTCTCCTCAATCAACGTTGCTGTAAATAAAAATAATTTGTTAAACTAGTTATTTAATAAAACATGATTAATAGAATATATGGAAAAAATTATAAGTGGTTTACTAGAAAGTAATAAGAATAAGAATAAGAATAAGAATAATAGGAATTACATGCGGTTAAAGTTAGTATACGACAGAGTTATATTAGTAAGATACGATGCTGGATCATGCACTAAATAACTAGTAAAGATTTTCATAGGAGTCATCATCGCTGACGATTGGAGTTGGAGTATGGTCAAAAGCTAAATCCTCATCTACGTACACAATACGAAGTGTATTTGTGTAACCGGAGCCTTGTTGCCATCCAGTTACTACAATAACGGTGTCACCGGTCTTCAGGAATCCACGGCTTTTACCAAAGGTCATACCGTATTGGACGCGAGCGTCAACGTCCTTCAACCAATCAGCCACAGGTGCTTCTAAAATTTTAATTATTTTATTCATTTATACTTATCATCATATAATATAAATTGATATATTTATTTATTTTATACTATAAAAATATTAAATACCAGTGTGAAGAAGAGGCAAAATTCCTCTGTACAAATGAGCTTGACGTGCGACTTGATGGAACCTAGTCACGGCAATTATTGGGCACCGTGGTCGGTACTTGGAGATGAGATGAGCTGAGCGACCGCTTGTTGTAATTACAATAATCGCAGTAGCCAAACATTTGGCAGAAGCTTCAACTGCGGCGATCGCTACAGCATGGGTAGCGTCAATTGGCGCTACTGCCTTGGATGACAAGTCGGCAAACAACTGGTTGTGCCAAATGGCAGACTCTGCTTCTTTGCAGATGTTGGCCATTGTGCGGACACACTCCAGAGGATAATCTCCCTTAGCCGTCTCTCCTAAACAATTAATTTTTTTTTTTTTTTTTTTTTAATTACAAAATTCTAAAAATAATGTATAAATATATTTTATTATAAAAAAAAAAAATACCTGAAAGCATGACACAATCAGCACCATCGAGAACAGCGTTGGCAACATCTGATGTCTCAGCTCTTGTTGCACGTGGCTTCTTGACCATGGACTCCAACATCTGTGTGGCACAGATAACAGGTTTTCCGACCTTGTTGCATCTACTGATCATGCACTTTTGGGCAAGGAAAACTTTCTCCGGGGGGATTTCAATTCCCAAATCACCACGAGCGACCATTATTCCATCGGAAGCCTCGATGATCTCATCCAGATTGGTCATACCCTGCTGATTCTCAATCTTGGAGATGATTTTGATGTTTTTTCCTTTTTCGCCCAAAATAGCGCGAATTTCAGTCAACGCAGCAGCATTACGAATGAACGATGCGAAGATCATGTCTACTTCCTGATCAACACCGAACTGCAAGTCAGCCTTGTCTTTTTCTGATACTGCTGGAAGATCAACTGGTACTCCAGGAAGGTTGACACCCTTACGTGATCCTAGCGTTCCACCGTTTTCAACTTTGGTAACGATTCCATCGGCAACTAAATTTAAAAAAATAATTTAATCAACTTATTTTATAATTTATTTATTTATTAAAAAGACTTACCGACTTCAGTGACTATCAAAGAAATGAGACCATCGTCAACAAATACTCGGTTACCGACTTTCAATACCTTTGATATATTAACGTAGTCAACCCACACGACCTCAGCATTTCCTTTTTCACCGAAAGCTTTGTCTGTGGTAAGTTTGAATGTTTGTCCTTTTTTCAATTCAACTTCTGCTGAACCACCCTGAAATGAATGAAAATAATAAATTATAATTCAAAGAAAATACATGAAACAATTTTATTTAAACAATACATACGCCTTCAAGGAGACCAGTTCGGATTTCTGGACCCTTAGTATCCAAAGCAATAGCGACTGGGACGTTCATCTTGTTGCGCTCGGACAAATTTTTCTGCGCCTGTCTTACATTTTTAATTGTCTCGGCGTGGTACTCATGGGAACCATGGGAGAAATTCATTCTCGCGATGTTCATACCGGTCTCAATCATCTTCTCCAGCATCTCGACTGATCGCGAGACTGGTCCGATGGTACAGATGATTCCTGAGAGCCGGTAAAAGGGCGCAGGGACACCAATATCCAGTTTGCAGATGTGGTCCAAATGATTTTGGGAGTTCTGGACTCGTAAGCTAGATTCACCTTCCATCTGTAATTATTTTTTTTTTTATTTAAGTCAGTTTATTTTTTTACCAATACAGCTGCACAGTAAAACCAGCAGGACATTACTGAAAAAATAAAAATAAATAAAGAAAATTTGTAGAAAGTTCAATAGCAAAAAATGACAATCCAAATAAATATATTAATACAACAGGAGGTCTTGCAATATCTAGTACTTTTGAAATAAAATTTTAGTGAATAAAAAGGATAACCTCGAGTACTGCTAACGAGATAAACGGTTTAAATTATTAAATCGTTTAAGCAGATTAATTAAAGTTGGCGCGTGTCTCAAAGAACATTTTGTAATATTCTTTCATCATAATAAATATAATAAGCTATCGAGAGCAATTAGTGGTGATAAAATTGTGTGTACACTATAAATTAGTGTATTCATTATCTTAATCAATTTTTATTTACATTAATTTATTATTATTATTATTATTATTATTATAATTTAATCAGCCATGCGTTAACTCAAAAAATTATTTTATACCAAAGTGAGATTATCTGTAAGTAAGTAAATAAACAAAGTTAAAATATTTTTATAAATTAAAGTGCAGACAAATAGTGAAGGCTAGTGTCGAGGACAACAAAAATAGAATATTAGTTAAAGGTATATCTACGTAACTAGTTTAACGGTTACATAAAAAATGGAACAAAGCGCACTACACAAAAAAAGTTTCTACTGGTTAATTTAAAACTTTAGAAATAAATAAAAGTAAAAGCACTACGTATTTATTTATTTATTTATTTATTATCTAAATTGAAAAATATAATAAAAAGAAAAAAACTGTGATATTAGACACTTGAATTTAGACAAGGATACCTTATCATCAGCTGTAATCCAGACCATTTTGACGGGCTGTGAGAATAAAGGGTAAAAATAATAATTTATTAATAAAGTCGGTTGGTTTACTTTTTTAAATAAACACAAACAGTGTCGTGAAAATCTAACTGATTGTGAGCAGTGGGCTCGTTGTATTTCAAAGGAGAAATAATTATTATCACAAATATGACTAATGCGGCAACTAAGCAAACGATTAAAGATAACGGACGCAGTTTTATGACACGACGAGCTTATTCGCATTAAGATGACAGTGATAATCGTCTGCGAAATTAAACTGATGAATTTCCACCTAAGCTATGTAATGTCATCACACGCCAAAATGTGTATTAATACTTTTTTTAGTTAACAAACCTACCGTTGTTATAGCAACAGACTATTATGATTGTCATCACACTAAAATATTGTTTATAGTAAAATTACTGGAAGACATTTTATTGATTTAATTGAATTTTTGTTTAGAAATTTTATTTTTATTTTGGATATAATTTTTTTATGTAAGTATTATGCGGTAATACCGGCGTCTGCGCGTGTATATGACATTTAATAATAATTTATGTTAAAAATATATTGATGAATTTGAAAAAAATATATTCTATGCATTGTTTAAATATTGACAAGTAATTGTAAAACGTGGCGTGATAATATCTTACAAAAAATTGAAATTTTGCTACGCAAATATTGACAATTATTTATTATCAGCGATTAACTGATGCATCTTTATTGTTTTATTTGTAGTGAATAATATATATATATATATACATATAATCTGCAGTGTATAACTGTCAAAAAGATTGCAAAAAAATTAAAAATTGAAACGGATAGAAGGATCTAGAAAAAACACAATGGCCACCAAATAAATTTCAATGACAAAGGCCGGTGACCGTTATATATATACTTTTTTTCTCCGGCCAAGTATTTAATGTCATTAATAAGAGGAATATTACACCGTTTTAAGTAAATAGTTAATGATTCTATTACGTTTTGATAAAACGAGCTCACTGTCACGTAGACACTTTTTGTTTTTCTAATTTACTTACGATTTTTGATTACCGAACGGATAATTTTATTTAGACGCTAAATTATTTTATTTTCGACTGACAAATGAGGAAGAGAACTTTTACTTGAATAAATGTACTTATGACTAGTCACTGACTTTTTACAAGTCAAGTCTAGTTCTCAACCAAGACAAAAGAGTCTCCAAGTATTTATGTATTGTATGTATTTAGATAGTAAAAAAATTAAATTTAAGTCGTTGTAGGAATAATAGTTTTGTCTGTGTTACACCTTGATTTTTTTGTACAGTTAGGTCGCTAGAAAATAAAAATGGAAGTATGTTCCAGACATGCGCGAATACACGTGCTGGTTTATCGTTCATCAGCTGTGAATACTTTTTTTTTTTTTTTATAAATTAAATTTTAACGAAAAAAAAAAAAAAAAATTAATGTGCAATTGAAAATAATCTGGTTTAAAATTATCAGAATTTTAATTAATTTTTGTCTTTTAAAAAAATCTTTCAGCTATTTAATAACAATTTTTCGCTAATTATTCTTCTAGAATATTGATTTTAGTTTTTGTTACGTCATTTTAAAAATACGTCCTTTTTTATAAAAGGATTTTATTTAATGATAATAATTGAAGAATTATTATAAAATATCAATTAAAAATGAATGACCTTGAAACTATCGATTAATTACTTTCCGGATGTGCATAAAAATCGTACGATTACGCAATAATATATCCATGCTTGGTTGTCAAGTTCATATCACACAGTGAACTCTATTTTTATACAAGTTCTAAAAGAAATTTTTATCATTATTATTATTATTATTATTAAAGATATTGTTAATTGAGAGATAACCGGTAGCTTATTTTAAACATCATTAAAAGAGAGATAAAAAAATTAGTACATAAATGCGTTTCAGAGTGATGAAATTATATTAATAGTTTCTGATAATTATAATTATAAACAATAAATTTACCTTGATTTAAAGAATTGGAGCTAGTGCAAGGAAGTTACGTGTTAAACGGTGAACTGGATGAATGAACTGCTTGAAACTTGTTCAGTAGGTTCACAAGATTTTTATAAACTAGCCGAGTAGCAGGGATTGACGTTAAACTACTCGAGGGCGGTGAAGGTCAACTTGTAAAACGCACGACAGAACCAGAACACCGGTCATCACAATTCTCTGGCTGTTCTAATGTCCCGATTCTTTTATTAATCGCATTCATAGAAACTATACTACAGTATGAGACAATGTAAATATACTCTATCTGATCAACTTCACATCAACACGCATGCTCGTGGATTTAATCCGCGGCTGCTGAGAGAACTTCAAATATCTCAGGTTTTGACATGACAACGCAATCTGTGTGCAATGATCTAGAGTCAGTTTCTGATCGATGGATCATTCCTTTATTTAATTGTCTGCTTTATCAACCTCAGAGATCTCTTTAAATAATGATAAAATAAAAAGAGTTTGAAAATATGATAATTTGATTAAACTGACGTGGAGGTGGGAGATCCAGAAACCGGCTAGCTATTTATTACCAATCACTTCTCGATCTGGCTCAGTCTTTTACTTTCAATCTCATCTTCTGGATAGCAACTCTAAAATATATTTCAATATGACACAAAATCAGAAGAAAGTTGTCATGAATTTTGGTGCTGGACCTGGAAAACTTCCTGCAGAGGTATTTTATTAATTTAATTTTTTTTTTTTTATAAATTATCATTGAATAAATATACTTGCTCTGAAAGAAAAATTTATAACCGGTTCAATATACTTAGATAAAATTAAAATTATATAAATAGTTCAAGATGATTTAAACCTTATCATGTTTTATAATATTTAAAATATATAAATAAATCTTTAGCTTTAAATATAAGTGGTTATTTTTATATTTAAAGTATATATCGCGTCATATGATGGCTGGTTATAAATTATTCTGATTTTTATTCCGGGTGCAAAAGGCCATCGAACTTTAAGACACATTTTTTTTATGTAATAATTAAATTAGTTATTTATTATTTTATAAATGTAGGTTCTAAAAGAAGTCCAGGATGAGTTGATGGATTTTGGTAATACTGGAATAAGTATTCTGGAACTGAGCCACAGATCTGGAGATTACGCTAAAGTAAACCAGAATGCCCAAGATCGTCTGCGAGAGTTATTGTATGTAGTTTTAAATTTTTCGGTTGAGTTGATGTTAATTTAATCAATTGAAATTTATAGAGATATTCCGAGCAATTATAAAATTTTGTTCATGCAAGGCGGAGGAACTGGTCTCTTTGCTGCAGTGCCTCTCAACCTCATGGGTAAAACCGGAACGGCTGATTATTTTGTGACTGGTAATTATTTTACTCTATATAATTATCAACTTTAATTATATTAATGTCAAATAATTATTTGTCAGGTTCGTGGTCGTCAAAGGCAGCAAAAGAGGCCGAAAAATATGGAAAAGTAAATATTGTTCACCCAAAGATGAGTAAATACACTGGAATACCAGACGTATCGACGTGGAAGCTTGATCCCAATGCTTCATACTTGTATTACTGTGCCAACGAAACAATTCACGGTTAGTAATTTTAATAAGTATCAGTTATATAATTATTGTTTTTAATTTCTTATCAACTTAATTACTAAATATAATTTTTAAGGTGTTGAATTTGACTTTGTACCTGAAACAAATGGAGTTCCTATTGTAGCAGACATGTCTTCAAATATTCTTACTCGAAAATTCGACGTCTCTAAGGTAATAAATTTTATTTGAATAAATCAACTATAAAATTATAATAATGTAATTTTTAATGTAAGTTTGGAGTAATTTATGCGGGAGCCCAAAAAAATTTTGGGCCGTCTGGAGTGACTGTTGTAATTGTACGTGAAGATCTTCTGGGCAATCCAATGACAATTTGTCCGTCTGTCCTTGATTTTACAGTGGTTGCTCAAAATAATTCAATCTACAACACACCACCGACCTTCCAGTAAGTCCGCTTAAATTAAATAATTAAATGTTCATTAGATGGTCAGTAGCTTTTAAGATTATATTAGTTACGCAATGAGTGTCATACGACCACCAGTGGACTTTTATCGAATGATAAATATGACGCTCATTGATTATTGTCCATACATTTTTATTGTCCTTATTTCACCACAGTAACTCTTTCCCAATAAAACGAGATAATATTTTTTATTAATTATTTATCAGAATTTACTTTATTGAACACGTGTTTGAATGGATCAAGAGAAATGGAGGAGTCAAGGGCATGGAAGAGCTTGCTATTAAAAAGAGTGGCCTTATTTATGACGTTATTAAAGGCTCCAATGGATTTTACTCTTGTCCTATTGAGCCAAAAGCCAGAAGTCGCATGAACTTGCCATTTAGAATCGGCAATAACAATGAAGATTTAGAGAAGGAGTTCCTTGCAGGTGCTTCCAAGCTCGGGATGCTTCAATTAAAGGGCCATAGGTAAATTAATTATATTAATATAAATATTAAATTATGTTATTTAATAAAAATTGTTATATTAGATCTGTTGGAGGAATAAGAGCTTCTTTGTACAATGCAGTTACTTTTGAAGAAGCCCAAGCACTTGCTGACTACATGAAAGAATTTTATAAAACTCACGGCCAATAAACATCCATTAATTTTTAAAATATATCAACACTCCATTTCTTGTATTTTTTATAATTTTATTAATAAAAAATGAATTGCATGTTATTTTATATACAGGCAACTTTTAAAGAGTTTAAATAAATAAAAAATTTACTATAAAAATACCTGTTTGAGACAATTGTTTTCTCTGTGTTTATTAATTATCTATTACCAGATAATCTCGGAGTAGTCTTTATTTTTCATCATTGTAATTAGAATGAGACAATTACCGGGATCACCCTTAAATTGTTAAAAAAAAAAATAATCAACTCTTCGCAGATGGTTTAAAAAAAACAAAGTTTAAATATTCTATTGCCCATTGAATACCATTTGATTTCGGCTGTTGAGATACTATTCCGTCAAATATACTCTCTAATTTTTCATTGGTACCTCGGCAGCCTTGAATTACATCTTTAGACCACTAAAATCATTAATGAAAATTAATTTAGCAATTTTTTTAATAAATAAATTACTGGATAAAAATAAAAAAAAAAATTAAGATTTAGAAAATTTAATAAATTAAAAATGCAATTTTTAAAAAATATAATTAAAAAACTGTCACTATTAAGTAACAGCTAACTTTAATATTATAAATCATTATCAATAATTACAGCCAAGCTGATAGTTTAATAAATTAAAAGATTAAATACCTGGAAATAATTTTGGACACGAGTACTTGTCCAGCCGACTGGCGTACATCTCTGAAGATCTCTCAGGTTGTAAATTTTGTCTGCTAGTTTAACGAGCTTAGCCTCATGGCTTATGTGCGGTGTGTGTACCACCTGTAAACGTTTTCGCTCTTGGCTTGACAGTGACTTGTCATCAGTCACTTCCGCGACAATTGATTTTATTTTGGGACCAAACTCACCCTCGATTTCTTCTATTGACGTGTCAGTGTCTTCAACAGTGTCGTGCAACAATGCTGCGACAATAACATTTGGATCATAAACTTTGCCTTCTTCAGTTAAAATATTAGCAACTCCTAAGGAAATAAAATTAAACTTAATAACCTCAATTATTTAATTTAATTTAATTAATATAATTATTAATTACCTATAGGATGATTAATATAAGGTGTAGCTTCATAATCATGTCGTCTCTGATTTTTATGTTTCTTAGCAGCAAAGTTTGTACATCTTATAATTAATGATAATAACTCATCCTTTGATAATTCATTGGACATTTTTATTATTATTAAATAATAAAAACACTAGTTAAAAATTTTAATCACGAGGTTCAACATTCAAGAGCACGATTCTTTAGCTTTACTTTAACGAGTGGCAATGACCGATTGACCTACAAATTCATTTACATCTAATCAGCTGATTTTAGAAATTTTGCCAACTATATATAACCTATATTATGCGTAGACAGAATAAGCGCGGCAAATTTAATTTTCAATATAATTAAAATAATTTAAAACTTACCTTTAATTAATTTTTATAAATAAATTGAACACTAACTACATACAGATTAAGTAAATTTATTAATTTTATCTAGAATACATATGGTATTCCCCCGACTTGAGTTTTAATAATTAAGTACACATTACAGTTAAATTCTTGAACCAGTCAGGAACATGAATTATACGATAAAAAATATTATCATTTTCATATTAATTAATTAATAATTATTATTAAAATATTAACGGATACATTCTGCATTGTTATTTATTGCAAATATACATAATGGATTTTTATTATTTATTTTAGTCAAATTTAATTCATTGACTCAAGAGTTTATGATTATCGTTATATCGAAAATTTTTTAGGTAAGTTGATTAAAATTTTCAGTAGCAATAGCAATAATTAACGTTATATATGGTACAAATTTTAGATTTTTTTTAATAATATATATTATTTACGTTACTAATTATTGATAATTATTATTATAAACACAACATCAGTATGGAATATTTTATAAACAATTTTTTTACATGGAACAGAACGTCGACTAGATGACGGTTAATATTAAAAATTTTATTTTTAAATAAATCCCTTGGCAATAAGCTAATAAATTTTCTTGTTTCAATTAAAAACGAAAAGAAAAAAAAAAAAAAAAAAACGAGTCTTTATTTACAGTGATGTTAATACCGAGTCTTTAAAAAAAATAATAATACATGATTGAAATATCTGTGATGAATTGTTAAACTGCCTTAAAAAAATAATAATAAAAATACTAAGTAAATACATAAAATTTTTTTTTTTTTTTGATTGGTCTGAACACAAGCTTTTAATTCAAGTTGGAATTTATTCTTTTCCCCTTAATTCATAGTTATAATAATAATAATAATAATAATAATAATAATAATAATAGCAGCAATTAAAAACAATTATTACTGTTATTAATATTTTTTTAAAATACTCAAGACAACCTTTAATATAATGATATTTATATTAAATAAAAACTCGTATTCAGACCGACGTAACTCAACCAGGCATTTTACGATTTATCATAGCACCTAGGTCCTGAACAATTTGTTTTTGTTCAGGATTAAATAGTAGCGTTCTTGCACTGAGAAATGATAAATCGGGCAATTGTTTCAGCACTCGTACTGTTTCAGCTTGAACTACCATTGGTCTTCCATAACGATCCATAACTGTGTGCTGCTGCTCTGGCAAATGTTCACATTTAACAGTCGCTGATTTACGGATGTACTCTTTCGTAGAGTCAGCTTTAATTGACTCAGCTCTAGTGTCAATTTTACTGATGGTACCGGTCGTTGAAAATGATTTACTGCTCGTTGGTACTTGATTAATTTTATCTGTTTTTAATTTTTGATTGACACTTTTCTTAGCAGCAGCAGCAGCATCACCAGCTTCAGCTTTTTTCTTCCAATCAACTGTATTGGGTCCTGGCAATGGTTCTATTATTTTAGACAATTGCGATGATGCTCTTGCTGGGTTCATTAATTCACTTTCCATCAATTCTAACGAGCTTGCCTTTGAATAGTTTTGCTCTTGCTCATGGGAATTTTGGGTATTACCTAAATTGATATATAAAATAAAATTAAAAAATTAATTAAAATAGTTAATAAAAAATAATAGAGTTTAATTTAATGATATGATGATAAAAAAAATATTTGAAATAATTTATCGGTGCAAGGATTATTAGCTTAAACACTTACTGAAGTATATGGAGCTCCTGTTACAAGCAGCGTGATGGTGATAGGATTCGGAATGTGCGGAGTAATGTGGAGTTAACAGAGGATCAAAAGGATATAACAAATCCAGAGATAGGAGAGACGAAAGACCACCACCTGGTATAGTACCATTTAATCGTGATAATCATTTGTGTTTTTGTGCCCAATTACACAAGTGAGAATAAACAAAAATAAAGCAAGGATAAGCGAGGAATAGTAGTGAGTGGTAGGACAATAAATAGGTAATAAATCAATAACAGAATATTTATCATTATTAGATATTATTTTAACTTTTAATTCATTTGTAAATTTATACTCACTTGCATCTAGGGGATTAACTAGACCGGAACTATTCCAATCGAATTGAGCTGCCGGTACTTCCTATAAATAGTTTTTTTTTTTTTTTTTTTTTTTAAATAAAATTTATGTTTACTGTATGATGGATGTTTTATTTAATGAAAAAAAAAAAAAAAAAATTACCTCGCTGTTGGTTGAAGTGTGTTGTTTAGTAGAACTCGATGTTGATGGCTGTTGAGTTTCGGAGGAAGCTTTGGTGGGCTCTAAGGGCGCAAATCCCAAATTAGCCGCAAATCTTGGAATGTTTGGATTCCATCGAGGTCCAAATAGCTGTGGAAATATTTATTAGATTCCAAAGAGTAAATCGTTGAGCTAATAAAATAATTCAATAAATAAACTTACGATGTTTCGAGAATCAATACCGAGGGCTCCGAGGAGGACATTGTTACTAACGCTATTAGTCCACTGATAAGACAAGGCATTTGTCTCTTCAATGCGTTTAAGTGACTCCCACAAGTCATCGGCTTCGTTAATTAATGGCTTTACGTCAACCTCTGAAATTTCTGGAGTTTCAGGGAACATTGATTTTATTATGTCCTCTATTTTATTGGCAACCTACAAAGTACAACACATTTATTAATTCAAAATTAATATAATAATAAAAATAACAATTCTATTTAAAATTAATTAATTGCTAAAAATTAATATCTCTAGACTCACATTCTTGTTATCTATTCGACTAATTGACTCTTTAATATTTATTTTTGGTGTTTCTACAACTGCAGAACTAGTAAAAAAATCATCAAAGTCATCAAAATTATCGTTATCTTGACTGGAAGCCACTGGAGCTTGGATATTTGGCGTCCAATCTTGACTTGCAGCTGCTGCTGGTACACTGGAAAAATCAGCAAAGTCTCCAAAATCATCGTTATAATTAACATCACTTTGATCCTTGCATTCTGTAACTGTTGAGGTTTGTTGTGTTGTTGGTTCTGATAGTTTACTGCTACTGGGAATGATTATTGTCTTACCACTTTCAAATGGTTGGTAAGTCGAAAAATGATCGTAGTCATTATTTATTTCATCACTCGACGATATTTCTTCTGGCAGTGAATTTATTTCAGCAATTTTCTCGGGGAAAATATCCGTTGATTCTAATACATTTAATTCACTGGTTGATTTTGTTTCTGTACACTGATAATCTATGAAATTTGTAAAATCACAGTCATTATTTTCACTATCATTAATTTTTAATTTTTCTAAAGTTGGAGCTAAATCATTATTTATTGAATTTTTGTCATTTTGATTATTTTCCATATTGACTACTGTATTATTACTAAAATCACTAAAATCTCCAAAATCATCTTCATCATCTTGAATACTATTAATATTATTATCAAGATCCTCCAACGGTGGAATGTCAACGTCAATACCATTATCTTGTACTTTATTAACACAGGAATTATTATGCGGTAAAATATTTTTATCAAAATCAAAATCAAAATCAAAATTAAAATCAACAAAACCATCAGTACTATTTATTTTCTTTTCAGAATCATTATTTTCAGATTCTTCGACATCATGATCGATGTCTGATATTGTAAAATTATTGACATAGTCTTTGTTATTGCCGTGAGCGATAAGAAAACTCGAAAACTCTGAGGAGATATCTTGAAAAAATTCATCAATTTTTTCTTCTTGACTATCAACTGCTATTCTAATTGACTCATTTTCATCAAACTTATTAGAGATTTCTGTCTTTTTTTTCTCTACTGTCACCTCAACCTCAATATCTTTGCCTTGAAAACTTTCAAAGATCTCATGCTTAGGTGAATTCAATTCAGAGTCAGGATTATCATTTGAACCAGGACTGTCGCACTCCAGTGAATTATTGTAATTGTCATAATCATAAAAATCATTATCCAAATCGGGATTTAATTCACTGACAACTGTGGGATCATCAAGTATCAAACTCAAGGGTTCGTGCTCATCATTAGCTTCAATATTGTTAAGCGAATCATCTCGATCACTTACAGTCTTTAAACTTCTTTCAGCTAAACTACTATTGTTACTACATGCTACATCACCATTGATAGATAAATTATTCTTATCTAAATTACGATTACAAATATCGTTTGTGCTACTTCTATTGCTCTCATAAACAGACTTTTTATCACTTGAAATTTCATCTATATTTAAATCTCTATTCTTTATAAAATCCAAATTATTATCATTATTAATATTATTTTTTAAACTACCACTACACGTCCTAATATCTAATTTTATACTGCTCACAGTGTCGTCTGTTTTTTCCACAATTATAATATCCTCGTTACAAAGCCTGAGAATATCACCATTATCACCACGCGTAGACACATCAACAGCTGGAGAATAGTCACTGGTTCCGTTAATTCTCGGAGAAGCTGTAATTGATATAGTTGGAGTCTGAATTGGAGTAAGTATTTTTTGTGGAGACTCTGAGGTCGTTGATGATCCTAAAAAATTTTTTCAATCATAAAATCATTGATCATTAATTTAATATTAAAAAAATTAAAATACCTACCATCAATTCCACCAGCTGCATAGTCACCAAACTCATCATCGTCACTTTCCCGACAATTATCCAGAGGTGGAGGCGTCGAACTGACCAGTGGTGGAAACGCCATCCTCACAATCTAACAAATTAATAAACAATACAAAATGATTCATTGGGTAACTTTCTATTCACACAAGGACAAATTTTGTAATTTTATTAATTTTTTTTTTTTTATCAATATATTAATCAATCACTGTTACAATTTTAAATTTATACTTTTATGCACTTGAATAAATAATTTAATATCAACACGTATTGATTATTTATTAAAATTCAATTAATAATGTCCAAGGTTATATCAATAATAAATAAAAATCATTGATTTGCGTTTATAATTTTCTTTGTTAACAATTATAAAAATTTTTTTCACCGAGCTATAGTAACCTACTGGTTATAATTATAAATAAGTATTTATTTAAACAATAACAAACTCACTTGTATGGGATATTTTTATGATAAATAAAATTAACAAACCTGTTTTTATATAGTTTGGTGTATAGTCGTTGTGTTACCTCCAGTTGTTTTTTATCTGCTCGTCGTACCTGGCATATTATTATCACTATCACTGTCTGTGTGTGCAGACAATTGTCGTGGTAAAGCTTTTAAATAAAATTCGTGATAATTATTTCCACACTCGTTGATAAATAATATATTAATTTAACATAAGAGATACACTTCCAGGTATTTTAAAATGTATACGTATACACTAATATGGTTGCAGTAGAGGTGGTTTTATATATATATATATATATATATATGACAAATTACAGAGGATACTATTTTATATAAAAGAATCACATTCAGTGATCACTGTCCATGATATCTCACCTGTTCTTATTTTACGGCCATCATCGTTACTATATATATATATATATAGTTATATACTGATATATATGTGAGGTATACTTTAGTCTACTCCAGATCTACATACCTATACAAATTAATAACACTAACTCTTTGCTTGCTTTCTACCTCTCAAGACTCTGACTGGCTAATACTCTCTTGCGCAGCAGCTGTCACTTATTGTCACGTGTTAAAATAAACGTCACTCCAAAATTAACAGTTTTATGATAATTAATTTAAAAATTACACCACTTATATTAAAATATCGAGACATTTGTAATAAAGATTTAAAACAAAGAATTATGTAAAAATATAATTAATATGTCACGTGTACTATCGATTGTTATTTTCTTTGAGTATCGATAGTTAAGAGCGCGAAATTCGAATTTTTTTTTTTTAAGATTAAAATTATTATAAAAATTAAATTAGCCGACATTTAAAAATTTTTATAATTTATTTTATTGAAAAATAATTTTTACAAAATTAAAACAAAAATTTTTACATGTAGAAAATTTTAAAAATAATACGTGGAATTTTTTAAAAATAGTTTTTTAGTTCTAATTTTTAATTAATAATAAAGAATCAAAAAAGTTTTTAGTTATTAATTATTTGAAAAATTAATTTCTACATGAGGATTAATTTTTAAAATTTAGTTTCTGATTATTTAATTAATATTAAGAGTCTGTTAATTTCAGTATTTCAGTGTTTTACAGTAAAAATAAATCAGTGATAAGTTATAGCTGTGGGTGAGATAAGAAATATTATTAAGAATAAATAAACATCTGAAAATAAATAAAATAATAAAGAAAGTTTATAATTTTCTTATTATTTATTAAAATTTTACTTTATAAAATATAGTTTTAATTCATTTTTTAAAAATAGTACAAAATATTCCCAGGAATTACTTTACTAATTAGTTATTAGTTCATAAATTACAACTTTTCCAATTCTAACTTCTTTGATTCGCTTGCAATGCCTCAGTATAGTCAGATTGTTCAATTTCATTTTATCAAGCTTAGTTTTTGTTTCTCGGTAGTAATCTTCGCCGGTAAAAAAATATTTTCGCTCTGAAAAACCAATAATTAATTAAAATAAAATAATTTTTATATATTTTATAAACAAATATAGAGCAACATTATACCTTTGTTTGGATACACGTCGGTCTCTTCTTTTTTAAAATGCAAATACAAATCCAGTTCACCTTTTTTCCGTGCTCCAATTTTTCCCAAGCTCAATAATGAATATTTAGACTTGATAATTTGATTAATGGTTGTAATAAAATCGTTTATATGAGTAAGAGTGTGCCTTCCGATCATGTACTTTGGTATTTTTGAAAATTCTATTGTATTAACAAGCTCAATTTGATAAGAATCCTCATTGTCTTTAAAAAGTGTCTTTTTGCAGTCCTTTTGAAACGGAAGAAACTCTGTAGGATCAATGACGGTGTCAGGTTTAGCTGGTGTAAATTTTTGCTCGACAAGAACGGAGTTTGCATTGTTCTTTTGTTCAAATTTTTTATGATCTTTGGCTGTGATGTTTAAGCTTGGAGGAAAATTTTCTAGCATGTGTGACACTTTTTCATTATAAGTGTCCAAAAGTTGATTGAGATTCTAAGAATTAAATGTATAATTAATTTTTTTGTCAATCAATAAAAAAAATAGTTATTAAAAGTGAATTATTACCTCAATTCCATTATTTTGTTCCTTCATGTATTCAAACTTTTGTTTTAAACAGCTGATTTGGATTTTTATCGAGTCCACTGTAGGTTTTAATTCCCTCCGAACGACATCCAATTCAGATTTATCTAAAAATATTTTTATTTATTGTAAAATATAATTGCAAAAAATTATAAAACATAAATTTAAAGATTCTTACGTTTAATAAAATTTGTTGCTGTTGTTAAATTATAGATTTTTATTAATTTACTCCGTAAAACACTCTCCAGGCTGGTTTCCTCCATTTTAAGGTTAACAGTATTATTGTGTATTGTGTATTTATTTATACACTTTATTATCCAGAATTCACTCACAACTTATTAAATTTATTTAATTAATTACTTAATATATTTTAAGAGTAATTAATTTTAAAGGTAAACAATTATTTATTGTTATAAAAATAAATAGTGTATATAACACAGTCGTTGATTTTCTTTATTAATATTTAAAAACTCCAAAACTCCAACTGTTTATTTGTGGACGCCGGTGAAAGCTTGACTGCCCTCTTCAGAGTAAAATCTTATAAACAAAATTCAAGTAAATCGATTTTATCGATCCACGGTAAAAAATTTAAATATTATTATTTAAATTAATAAAATATATTTAATTAGATTTTTAAAGGTAATTTTTTTTTTTTTTTTTTTTTTTTAATTTTTATTTTTAACTTAAAATCAATAATAAAAAAAAAAAAAAAAAAAAAAAAAAAAAAAAAAATGTATTATTTGCTTAAATTCTTTTATTAATTCACCAAACAAAACATTAATCAACATATTTAATATTTTAAACATAAAAAATAAGCGACTGATGATTGTTATATACACTTTACAAAACTCTTAATCTTTACATAAATATAATAAGTATTAAATAAGTAATTATTTAAAGACTTAATGCCCAGTATAATTAATGTACTGTAAAAAACTGATATCATGATATTAAATAATTAGCCATGGTTATCAATGAATCGTCGTAAAAAAATATTAAAACAATATTATTATAAAAGCTAAAAAATACTATTTAAGTAGTCAAACAAACATGAGGCACTATGGTGTATTTCATCCTAAAAGTCAATGAGATTTAAATGTTTGATAAACACTCTTTTTAATTAAAACACACTTGTAGTAATTATTACTGTCAATCAATGATAGTTTGTTTTAATTAAGCGTTGTTAAATAATCAAGTTATTAATTGGAGAAAATTTTTATCCCAAAAAAGATTATTGTTAAACCAGGTGGGATTTGTCAGAGGTGTTAATAAAAAACACCAAGCAACGAGACCTATCACAAAGAGACTAAAAAATCCAGCTCTTTTTAGAAAATTATTATAGGCCAGCACTTCAGTTAGGTCTGGGAATCCCATATGATTACAGAACGAGTGTGCCGCAAAAGGAGCGACAAAGTGACCTGGAAAAAAAGTAGAAACAGTAAAAGATTTGTTGAAAAATTTTGTTCTGATAAATGAATAAATAATGAACCTGTTTTGGCAAATAAAAAAGCTGCATACGCTCCAAATATCGTGGTATATACAAATTGAAAGGCTGTAACAGTGAATAAGAAATTAAACTGAGATTTAATAAATAAAATAAGTTAACGTACTGGATAGTATGACAGCACTCTTGAGCTCCATGCCAACTTTTGTTCTTTCAACAACATGATGAAAGTGAGCGACTCCAAAGAATAACGGACATATAAAAATGGCAGCAGTCGGACTAAAGCATTGTAATAACAATGGTAACATACATGCCCTGAAGGTCCATTCTTCGCTCAATGGAGCAACCACTAGATTTCTCCACCAAATCAAGGTTCTAGCATTTCCTATCCAATACATTGGCTCTAAAGTGTTGAGAAAAAAAATAAGAAAAAAAAATTACAAAATTACAAAAATTGTTATTTGCTTTTCGGGGGATTTGATTGTACGTACATCTATACTGACCGAAGTACAATTTCCATTGACCATTTAGTCCTTGAAGACAAAGTGGTCCTAAGAATAAGATCATTGTCAGAATTAGTGGTATAAAAATTGCCTGAAGTAATCCTGACCACTTAAGACCCAGCAATTCCCAAATTGTTACCTAGAAAATATTTATTATGTAATTTTTCAGAATATAATTATGATAAAAAAAATAATATTTCTACCTTTTCAAGTACTTTATTACTCATTCCAAAGTATAAAAATACTGGAGATATCAGAGCCATGATGAACACACTGAAAAATCTTTTTTTTATTGTACTCGAGTGTTCTCTGTAATAAAATAAATCATAATTTTATATTTAAAGGATAGAACATGAAATGTCCAGCATTGATTAAATTTTTTTTTTTTTTAATATCAGAGCTTCGATTTTTAATTTCAAGTAGATAGAATAAAATCCGAAGTGCGTCGCTGCTGCCGCGGTATTTAACCGGAAAATTTTTAATTTATTAAGGAAGAATAAACGTGGGATCAGAGCTAAAAAAGATCCACACATTGGAGCTTGGAGCACACTCATCTCGTATTAGTTGCCGACATACCAAACATAAGTGTTAGTGTGTGTGTGTGTGTGTGAGTGACGATACACATGAAAAAGTAATGTAGTAGGATGGTGGATAGTGGATCTGATCTCTCTTTCTCTTTCTCTTTTTCTCTCTACTCCTCTCCCAGCTCCTCAAGTCATTCAATCATTCATGCCTCGGTTCTATTCAGTGATTACCGAACAAACTAAGCACTAAGCACTATTTTTCCTAGATACTCCAAAACTCCATAGACGTATCTAGCACATAGTTTACCTCAACAATTTCCGGTGGGAATTAATTCCACCGACTTATCAAAAACACAACCATACAATTTATATTTATAAGTTTATAAGGATATATTAATAAATAAAAATAGTGACAGTTAAAAATAAATCTATGAGTATAAAGGAGGTTATTTTAAAAATATATAATAAATAAATAATTATGTACCTGGTGTGTGGTGAACTCCATACATATAAACTTGCGACATATGTAATTGATAGGAATAAACATGACAGTATAGCATAAATACAGCGATATTGGTTATTATTATTTAGTTCTTGTGTCTCCATAACGTTTATGCATTAATATTCTCTCTTTGGTCGTTAAAAAAACCCGTCGAGTTGGTAAACCTGAAAGACATTAGGATATATTTTACTTCACTACTAATTCTCCTCTCTCCTCTTTCAGTGTATATATATATATATATATTTATATGTATGTATATTATCACAGAGAGGGTGAATTTTAAGTGTAAGGGTTAGATGTATATATACTTACGTGTGTGTATATGTTAAAGCAACTCGCGAGTCGCGACAGTATATAGTAGCAGCTTCAACCAGAGTAAGAGGGCTGTTGAACAAGAGCAAAGAGGACAGCTTGTTTTTAAAATTGTGTGTGAAAGAGTGTGATAGAAGTAAGTTTAAACTACACTCTCAAGTCTGGACTAGTGTCTGCAGTGTTGTGTATACATACAAGCAATCCATAGTTGATATAATACTGGTGCTGGTACAAGAACAAGAAGAGTAACAGTGACAGCAGAGAGTAGAGAGCGCCAGATGACAAGGACAGAAATCAGCTGGTAGTGGTTAAAGAACAAGGAGAAAAGGCAGCTGCGCTTGCGCATGAGTTATCCAGTCCGGCAGAACAGCGAACAGTGAACACCGTCAATGAGAAGATGGCCGCTGTGTTCGGTGGAAGTGTCGCCATTTTTTAGTGTTTTAATTTGTTGTTAATAACCGAGTGTGTGTGTGAGTGTGAGTGTGTGTGTGTGTGTTGAGGATCGTTTATTTATTTTGGGAACTTAAACCGACGGAGAAGATGCCGAGTGCACCGTTCAGTTCCTCGCGTAATTACGTTAGACGTTCCAGAAGGAGGACTGCCAACAGGATTCCTCTGCCATCAAGAACATCATCGGGTAAGAGAGAAGAGAATACAATTCTCTGAGTGAGTTGCTTCTGAGAGAGTGAGACAACTGTTGGTGTTCTTTCTGTACTGCTCCGTTGATCCGTTGCTCCGTTTCGTTCCCACAGAATTTATACAACACCAGCCAACCAATATTATACATTATACATTTATACATCTCGCAAATTGTGCACCTGTCGTCATTATTAAGATACTTTTAATAATTTTATCCTTTTACCTGATTATTAATCAAATTTAAAAAACTATTTGCCTTCAATTCATTAAAGAAGTAGTTGAAAAAAATCAGTTTGCAAGTTTTGACATACCAAATGTCAAGCCGCGATTTATTTTCTCTCTCCCACACACCCTCGTCCTTCACCCCCTTTGCCCGTCCTTTGTCCATTGACCCACGACCCTTCTTAGGACGTGTACACCGCCAGTCAGCCAGCGGTAAACCTTCTCATCCGACTAACGTCTGCTGGCTGCTGCTTTTCTCTTAACTTGTCCAGCCGATCGCGTATGCTCAAAAGTCTGTGGAGTGTGGCCTAAAAACGCCCTGATGATGGCCATGCCCGTTTCCTCTTTCATTTTTCGACGCCTTAGGCCTCATTTTTTAATAATTCACATTCTCACGTCTCTTTATCCTTCTCATACTAAATTTTATCTATTGATTTAACTGGCAATTTTTGTTTCTTCTTTTTCTTATTCTTTTTTTTTTTTTTTACTATGTATCGTTTATTTTAAGGTAGTAAATACTGGTTGGCTCCAAAACTCTGATGCTGGTATACTGTACGGTATTTTTTGTCGAATCATTCGTTGTGTGTATGTGTGTATAAATAAATTCTTGATGTGTATATAACAATCTATTAATTTTATTAATGTAAAATTAATGTAACCGCCATGATGATCATTTAATTGATGATAATTGGATCAAGTCTACATTGATAATGACGTGAGATTACGTGAGAACAGTGCAATTTCTTTATTGATAAATGAATTAAAACATTTAGCAAGCATCGGACAACAACTGGTTCTTTAAATTGTCATTCAGTATATTTTAATGATGCATCAATCAATTAGCATAACATTATCATATGTCATTTATTTTTAAACATTACAATAAAATTATTATTATTATTATTAAAAAAAAAAAAAAAATATTAATAAAACAAAATGTCAATAATTATTTTTTAAATTGTGATCAGTTGCTCTTTGACATAGTCGACGAGAGTTATCAGTCGATAATTTTTCAATATAGACCAAGAATTCAATTATGTTCTATCCACTTTTGCTTCATCCATCAGAGTTGGAAAAAAAAAAAAAAAAAAAAAAAAAAAAATTTTAATATGACAGGGTAAAAAAAACCTGGAGTAAAAATAAAATGACAATAATTAATTTTCAGTTGAACCATGTGATCTTCTTTGTCCAGCGTCGAACCCAATGCCATTGAGCGGTGGAGGAGCCGGTGGAGCTCGTGGATCGTCACCAAGTGTTTCAGGCGTAGCAGCCCCCTCACCCTCGCCAAACCACTCACACTCATCGCCGTATGACCTGAGACGGAAAAGCCCACCACATCCGGATCCAGCACCAGGTTCCAGCTCGGCATTACCTCCTCAGGGTGGGAGTAGCATCGTTGCTGCACTTGGTTCCTTTTCTCTGCCAGCGAGAAAACGACCCAGACGAACATGCTCACTGTCAACCGATGGTAAGCTACTAATTTATTTTAATTCTTATCGTAATTATTATTGTCATCAATTATATGATAAGTACATACTTGAGGAAAAGTATTTATGGTATTTACTATCATTGTTTTTATTATTATTATTATTATCTTTAGTCAACATTAATTACCTAATAATTGTAGTTGATGATGATAGTAAATAAAATAAAATAAAAACATAAATCAATATATATATATGGATGTATGTATGTATGTATGTATGTATGAATCATAGGTACCAACACGAACACAGCGGCACACTATCTCCTGTATGAACTACCAGACGAGGTGTTGCTGACGATATTCAATTTCTTCCTTGAAATAGACCTATGCCGTATGTCACAAGTTTGCAAACGTTTTCAAGCAATCGCCAATGATACTGAACTTTGGAAATCACTTTATCAGCAAGTATATCAATATGACTTGCCGCTATTTAATCCAGCACCCTGTAAATTTGAATTTGTATCGCCGGACGACTCTGATTATCCAAATCCCTGGAAGGAAAGTTTTCGACAGTTATACAGAGGAGTTCACGTAAGACCTGGTTTTCAAGATCTTAAATTTAAGGGTAGAAATTTGCCATACTTTAACACTGTACAAGGAGCTCTTGATTACGTTGATGAGTACAGAAGTAATAATGGAAATAACACGGCAAGTGGGAGCACCAGTAGCACTTCCAGTCAAAACAGTAATGCCTCATCTTCAACGTCAAATAGTCAAAATAATGGTTGCGCAAACATCGCTACACTGTTTCCAGAGGATGCGCCTCAACATATTATTTTCTTACACGCTGGTACATATCGTGGCGAGTTTCTCGTTATTGACAGTGACGTTGCGCTTATTGGAGCTGCTCCTGGCAATGTTGCTGAGTCGGTAATTCTCGAACGTGAAAGTGAATCCACGATGATGTTTGTTGAGGGAGCTAAACGTGCATACGCTGGACATCTTACTTTAAAATTCACACCGGATGTAACCAGTACAGTGCCCCATCACAAACATTATTGTCTTGAAATAGGAGAAAATTGCAGTCCTACGATAGATCACTGTATAATACGAAGTTCCAGTGCCGGTAAGTAAAAAATACATTTAAAAAATAAAAATTTTTTTATTTTATTTTTATTTAATTTATTTGTTTAATATGTTGAGCAGTAGGTGCAGCTGTCTGTGTATCCGGTGGCGGTGCAAATCCAATAGTTAAGAATTGCGACATTTCAGACTGTGAAAATGTCGGGCTTTATGTTACTGACCACGCACAAGGTACCTACGAAGATAATGAAATATCTCGGAATGCTCTTGCCGGTATTTGGGTAAAGAATTACGCAAATCCAATAATGCGACGAAATCACATACATCACGGTCGTGATGTTGGTATATTCACATTCGATAATGGACTTGGTTACTTTGAGGGTAATGACATTCACAACAATCGTATTGCCGGTTTTGAAGTTAAGGCAGGCGCTAATCCCACAGTTACTCAATGTGAAATTCATCATGGTCAAACTGGTGGTATTTATGTTCACGAGAATGGTCTTGGTCAATTTATTGACAACAAAATTCATTCGAATAATTTTGCTGGTGTTTGGATAACTTCTAATTCGAATCCAACTATACGTCGTAATGAAATTTACAACGGTCATCAAGGTGGTGTTTACATATTTGGTGAGGGTAGAGGTTTGATTGAGCATAACAATATTTACGGGAATGCTCTTGCTGGCATTCAAATACGAACCAATTCAGATCCAATTGTTAGACACAATAAAATTCATCACGGCCAACACGGTGGTATTTATGTTCATGAAAAAGGGCAAGGACTTATAGAAGAAAATGAAGTTTATGCAAATACTTTGGCTGGTGTTTGGATCACTACTGGATCGACGCCGATATTAAGGAGAAATCGAATTCACAGCGGCAAACAAGTTGGTGTTTATTTTTATGATAATGGACATGGGAAACTTGAAGACAATGATATCTTTAATCACCTGTACTCAGGAGTACAAATAAGGTAATTTATTCAATCCTCATAATAATACTTGTCTTGCTTAATTATTAACAATCTTACATTATACTAGTAATTTTTATTTAAACGATACATATATATATATATATATATATACATTGGTACGATTTCGATTAACAGGACTGGAAGTAATCCCGTTATTCGAGGAAACAAGATATGGGGTGGCCAAAATGGCGGTGTTCTCGTGTACAACAGTGGTCTGGGGTTACTCGAGCAGAACGAAATATTCGATAACGCTATGGCTGGCGTTTGGATAAAGACAGACAGTAATCCAACCCTCAAGAGGAACAAAATATTCGATGGGCGGGATGGTGGGATATGTATATTCAACGGTGGTAAAGGTACGTCACTCGAATTTTAAATTTATTTATTCTTCTCTTCATCTCATATCATCGATTGCACTTTTAATTGCTTTTTTAATTAGTTGCGAGTCTTTTTTTTTATTACTTATTTTTATACATGGATAATAATGATTTAATTTTTTTTTTATTATTCTATCAGGAATTCTGGAGGAAAACGATATTTTCCGTAATGCTCAAGCCGGAGTACTTATATCAACGCAATCGTACCCAGTATTGAGGAGAAACCGTATATTCGATGGACTTGCTGCCGGTGTAGAAATAACTAATAATGCAACTGCAACTTTAGAGTTTAATCAAATTTTTAATAATCGATTTGGAGGATTATGTTTAGCAAGTGGAGTTCAGCCAACTTCACGAGGTAATTTATAATTTTATAAAAGTGTTTATTCAGTTATTTAAATTTATTAAATTTTATTTTAACATTATAGGTAATAAAATATTCAGTAATCAAGACGCTGTAGAAAAGGCCGTTGAAAACGGTCAATGTCTGTATAAAATATCATCATATACGTCGTTTCCGATGCACGACTTCTATCGCTGTCAAACGTGCAACACAACTGATAGAAATGCTATTTGTGTCAACTGCATAAAAACTTGTCATGCTGGCCACGATGTTGAGTTTATAAGACACGATAGGTAACATCACCAATAATGCTTTTAATTATTACACTTTTGTATTTATAAATTGATAAAATAAATAAATACATATGTATTATTAAAAAATTTGTAGATTCTTTTGTGACTGTGGTGCAGGAACGTTAAGTAATCAATGCCAGCTTCAGGGTGAGCCTACGCAAGATACTGATACGTTGTACGATAGTGCTGCACCTATGGAGTCGCATACACTTATGGTCAACTAGGAATTAACTTAATAAATAATATTAAAAATTAATAATTACGGTAATAAATAATTACAAGTAAAAGTATAACAAAAAAAAAAAAAAGAATAAAAACAAAAAAAAAAAAGGAAACAAAAGGATAAACAATCAAATCATCACGGAATTGTGCGTCTTGAACGTGATTGCAAACAACATCACGGTAATCAGTAACTGAATTTTTTATTAAGCGTAACTTTTTTTATTATTTTATGATATATTAATTATCATAATGATTATATGATAATAATTATAATAATTAATGCGTATCATTAAGATATTTTTCATTTTAATTCATCTCGATCATCTATTTTTTCGTCGTTATCGTCATTATAAGTATTTTTTCATCATCATTGTTATTATATATATCATTAATATTATTATTATTATTATAACGTGAAGGTAGTAGTTATTAATAATTATTATGTCATTTGTCCCATATTTCATAATAAATTATGAAAAATTGAAAAAAAAAAAAAAAACCCGAATTAAAAAAAAAAAAAAAAAAAAAAAAAAAAATTTAAAAAAAAAAATTCAAAAAAAAAAAAAAAATTAAAAAAAAAAAAGTTTACAAAGTAGGCAAAAATCTAATTAACAAAACAAAATATCAATCATAGTCCTATTTTATTTCTCACTTAACATCAATTGTATAATATTGAATTGAATCTCTCTCATTAAAATTTTTGGCACTACCCCAATTAAGTTAATGCGTGCCTACGATTTATTTTGAATACCGAGAGAGAAATACACCGAGAATGCTGATAATAAATTAATATAGGGGATCGATCCCATAGTTGTGTCGATTTGTTTTATATATGTCCAATCGTTCTTGCGTGCTCATGCGATTGCGTCAGTGTCTGTGAGAACACCTAAACTAATTGAATTATAAATAATAATAATAATAATAATAATAATAATAATAATAATAATACTAACAACTTGAAATCTTTCGCGGTCGTTATATTGTTTTTAAAATTTTTTTGTTCATTGTTTTGTTTAATTAAATGATTAATTAATTAATCATCAATAGTATTTGATGAGCTAGCAAAAACATCGTATTGAGCCAATATTATGTATAAATACACTGCCACAATTGTAAATTGGGTAAACGATTTAAAGAAACAAAAAATGACTAATCAGTTGATTAAATCGGCGGGGAGTGTTTAGTGCATAAACTCTTTTAACGAAAGTTGTTCCCGGTAATTGATAATGATAAATGAGATTGAACGAGCGAGATTACGCGCACACTCGTGGATGTTTGGAGGAATGAATGATTGATTAATGAAAAAAGTCAATTTTAAATAGTCGTATTTAAAATTAAAAATGTATTTAATACATTACTTGTGATTATATATTGACGTTTTCAAAATAATTGGGACTATTTTTTAAATTCATTAAAATAAGTCATTTATCGAAAGTTTTTTTTATTGATATTTTTTTATTTACTTTCGATAAAAAATAAAAAAAAAAAAATTATTTAATAAGCTACGATTGATATTAAATCGTAAATAAATTTTTTAATGTTATAAGTTAGTCCCAGATGTGTTTGATGTGTTTACTGTAATGCGGTTTATACATTTGGAGTAATCAAAATAAATGATAAAAATGTCAACGCGTTTAAAAAAGTCACGCAACAGTAAAAAAAAACTAAACTAAGTCAAAAATTGAGCAAAATAAAAACATTGATAGCAAATTGGATCTAATTTTCTTATTATAACGAAGATTTAAAAGAATGTGATGGTCCTAAACTGCCTAGGGGTAAAGTGCATAATAAAATTAAAAAAAAAACAAAATAAATTAAGAATAAGTTTTTGATAAGAATAACGAAAGGAAAAAAAAATAAACATACTCTTCGTACATTTATACACGGCATGCTACTGTATATCAGTTATTAAAAAATAAATAATAATAATAATAATAATAATAATAATAATAATGACGCGAGCGAGATGAGACTGTGTGGCTTTTGAATTTTTGCTTTTCCTATTAATTGTATTTTGTAAAAGTTATTTTTATCCACCGGAAGAACAAATGACAGGGTGGAATAAAAAAATTTAGTGAATACGAGAACTATCCTCGGGTAGTATACTTTTTTCCTTCTGTCAATTACGCTACATCTCGATTCTCGTTCGCGTTGAATAACTTTTTTAAATAATTTCGACTTTATACCCAGTGTAATTCTATTATTAATATTTTTTAAATTATTATTTAGGTACATATAATAAATATTATTTTTAAAAGCCCTCGGCATAACAATAACAAACTTTTTAAAATTTCACTAATGGTTAGCACTCAGATTTTGATATGTTTGTTATCAAACTAGTTAATAACAAATTATTATTATTATTATTATTTTATTATTAATATTACGTTTGTTTAAAATTATTATTACGTGACTCTGATGATTTTTTAATGTGAATACTCTCGAGAAAAACAGACATGTTATCAGATGAAAAAAAGAAATGTTAATTTAAAATTATTAATCCGACATAAATCTGATTCACGTAACTGTAGGTGATTTTTAAATGGACTCAAGTTATTCCGTGTGGTTGGCTTGTTTTTATTATATTATTATTATTATTATTACTATTAAAATGTTGTCCCGATGCGACAAATCGATCGGGTAGTTATGTTTTTTTTTTTTAATTTTTTTAATTTTTTTTAGACCAGTCACGGATAAAAAAAAATTGTATAAAATGTGATAAGTGTGTCATCGCACGAAATGACTGTTATTAATTTGTTATTATCACGCAATTCAATACTACTATCATATTTTGTCATTTGTTCACCAATTGTGACGGCTCATGCGTATATACTCGTACCCTACTACTGTATATGCATATAAATATATAATACCATTATTAACGTTCTCGTTCTCACATTTATACCGACACAAATGTATGACGCGGTTAAATGTTATATACTCTGTATGAAATCACAGGTATGTTTCGCTCAGTCTGACATAAAAAAAAAAACTCGGTGATCTGCGGCATTTTCTTCGATTTTTTATTTTTATTTATTTTACGACTTAAATACCAACGCTGCAGTTGTATTGCTCTTATTATAATTATTGCATACTCTTTTTACCGTGATTTTGACGTTATTGCGTTTTGAATAATGATACTGAGGTTGCCTGACAACTGTCAATTTTTTTTTATTTTTATAACAAATAAATTACAATAAAAAAATGTTTTAAAAAATTTTTACATGTCCAATTTTTTAATTAATTTTTTTATAATAATTTAATTGATATAAAATTATAAAAAAAAAAAATTCTTTAAGTTTGGCAACTTCAGTGTCATTTTTAAGAGTGTTTATTATCATGCTACTATCAGCCATTTTTAAAAGTATCACAGAGTTAATTACTAAAATCAGAATAACATTTACATTTTTTGATCTTCCTACATTATGATCTACTAATATAATATACATTCCCATCAAACCATTTGCATTTTATTTATTTATTTCATTTTTTTGGTCATTAAAATGCCATTAATCTAGAAATGCGACTCGTATGATTAAAAACTTTAATTAATCTGAATATTAATGATGAAAAGAGAAAATGAAATTTTTAAAAATGGATGTATAATACGGCTGTAGCATGACTTTAGCACTGTTGTATGTATTTTAAAATTATTAGATTTTTTTCAATAGATTAGTTTTAATTAACGTGAGTCTGTTCGGTTTAAATTGTCCATTTTATTTAAATATTTGTTTTTAAGTTTTTTCCTATTTTTTTTATGTACCTCGCGAAAACTATTGGCTTTATACGAGGTCAACAGCAAACAAAAAAGCCTCTGTACTAACCAACCTGTTAATTGATAAAAATAAAGTTATAAAAAAAAAAGAAGAATAAAAAATAATCGATTAACTGCTGTAAAACTAAAATAAATAAAAACAATAATATTTTTTAATAATTAAATATTATTGCAAATGTATTAAGTCTAAAGAAACAATTAAGACTGTAATTATAAAATAGTATTCTCCGAAAAAAAAAAATATTTAACAAAATTAATAATAATAACAAAAACAAACTAACCGAATTATAAATTAATGATTGCTTTTAAACTGCCCTTTGTTTGACGCGTCGTACGTCTCATCTCCCATCATCATCATCTTCATCATCATCATCATCATCATCATCATCATTATACTAATTAGATAATGTTTATCTTATATTTTCTATAATATTAATCGTACCTATTGTAAATGACGTTATTTAAGGAAAAAAAAAAAAAAAAAAAAAAAAAACTTAGGAAAATTAAAATACAATTATATTAAATTTACGTCGATGTCATGTCATTTGTAATTTTTTTCTTTTTTTTTACGTCAATTCATACTTGCCATTACTACCGTATAGTTGCCATAGTTTTTTTGTGTCTTCGTACTCTAATTTTACTATTATTATTATTATCATTTTATCGAATAATTTTTGTTTGTTTAATTGAATGAATAAACGATATGAAATACAGCAAAAGATTGTGCATCATATTTATACACGCGTCCACGAGTAAATAAAAAATGGTTGAATAAATAATAACGAATGAAAGAACAATAGGAAGTGAAAGAAAATGACAAGGCATAAAATAAAATTTCATGTTCACTTTTATTCTGTACATAATTAATCTGTAGACACTATTTCTTCACGACATTTTAACTATTATATTATATATAATAAATATAAATATAATAGTAATCACACATGCGAGATCTATATATATATATATATATATATATAAATAAATAACCATTACTTTAAGTACATATAACGTATCGATTATATTATTATTATTATTATTATTATTGAAAAATACAAAAAAATTCTATATTAATTAATATTTTTATTTTTTTATCCTTTAGATCATTTATTTTATTTTTATCTAAATAATTAGAAAAATAGTGAAAGTGTTGTATGACTTTGAAGTTAGCAGACACTTGACAATTTTTTATTTTATTTTTTTAACAAAGAAATTTGTAGAAAAAATTTTTTTCAAATTTATTTATTAAATATCTGGTAAATTAATTTTTAATAGGTGTTATTTATAGGAAATGTACAGTGGATCGAGGAATCCAATCCAGCAATAATTAAAAGGCTATTCAAAATTTAGATAGTGACTCATGAGATGTTGGTGTCTATAGTCATGATATATAAATAAATAATTATTAAGAGAGCCGTAAATAAAGGTATAACTAAATGAATAAATATTTAATAAAAATTTAACGAAAGTTTGGTGAGTGCCGGTGAGTGTACGTGTACTACTCAATAATCCACGGGAGCTTTTATCAGCGCGGTGTGCGTGAACAGTTTAATGAAATTCAAGCGATGAATTAATAATATTAAAGAATCAAAAAAGGTTACTTGAATGCTGATAATAAAACGCAAAATGTGTTAATCCACTGAAAAATCTCACATCGATTTATCGAGTAAAGTTTTAATTATTCATTTTTTTTTAAATATTAACTGCTTTATTTTATTTATAGATACAAAATATTTCCATTATCTGTTTTTTTTCGTTTAATAAATAATTCTTAAATATTTGAAAAACATTTTTTTACTTATATTTATAAATTTAATATTGGAATTAAAAATTTAAA